GATTCCCTATCCAATAAGTGCATTTTGTGCTTTTCTGGACAGCATCAATGCAACTCCTTGTGTATGTGGGGCATTTTCTTCTTCATGACCGGAGTATAACAGAAGTTCTCCTGAAGACAGTCGTTGATGTCCAACCTGCGTACAATGCGTTTCACTGATTCCAAGCACCTCCTGGTTGTATTTTCTCATTTCTGCAGCAATTTGGAACTCTTCCGGTCTCCCACATTGTCCGGACATTCCATGTACCTATAAAAATTGTTGCTCTGGTTGTAAGAAGGTGCATTGGCCTCATGACTTCCGAAGGAACTCGGCTTTCATCATGAGACGTCATAATTATTCCTTCTACTCCCAGGACAGAGTTTGAATGGTTTGAATGATTTTTTCTGGTTAGCGTTTTTTTAACGAGTTGATTTTCTACGGGATGGGGTCGCTAACCCCGTGCCCAACCCTCCTCCTTTACCCGGGCTTGGGACCGGCAATAACCCCCAGAGGAGCTACAGGCGGAGTTACTTTTATACCCTACTACTTCATAAATAGCTACTAACTGCATTAAAGCCAAGTCCCATTTTGATAATATTAATTTAGTTTAACGATTATTAATAAATGATTTCACAAACTAAATCAATACAGACCATAAGTATTAACTGAAATGAATATAGGTAAAACGATTTGTGGTTAAAAACTAGTCACTGTGACCTAGACATATATACTCCACCAAACTATAACATTCTTACCAAATTTCGTTTAAATTATTTAGTATAAGATTAATTTTAAAATCTACATATAAAATAATTCTGTATGGTATTAAAGTGTTGACAATTCATTCGTTGTTATAGAATTAGAAAAAAACAACACGACTATTCGTGATACATACTACCCAGGTATTTATTAAATTGTTAACCAAAATTGTAGAATAAAAAAGTTTACCAAGGATATACAAGAAACAGAAGCTGAGTAAATCAGTGAGCTAAACACTAATTGGTAAATTACCCCCTCGTGAGTCTAAATACTTCAATAATTTGTTAATGAACCTTTAGGCTGATAAACAATCACGAGGCGAAATTATATGGGCTACCTGTTACTGCAATCAAAATATTCCAACAAGTTATTTGTGTTTTTTAAAAATTTGTTTTAACTTATCATTATGTCTATTAATCGCATAACCTATACAGGCGAGTTTATGAATAGCTTACGCCTGTAACGGAGTTGAAATTGCTATGTATCATATACTAATGCATTCTATTTTCTTTCTATTGCAGGGCGACCAAACATAAATTCTTTGGAGCAAGAAGAGCAAGCCCTATGTACACTAAGCTTACAGGCTGACTCATAAGACTACTTTGTAAACTGACTTTTCCCGCTGTACTCTCGCGCACCGCGTTTTTTGATTTTGAAATAAAGAGGCTCGTGATTCTAACTGTGTTCTCTCTTGGTGTGAAGTCCTCGTTTAACATTGTGTGCTGTGCTGTTTTCAGATCTGTCCTGCTGTTCTCTAACTGCTGATTCCACGTGTTACACGTCCTTTCGCTGCAAAAATCACAAACAAGTACAATAAGAGACATCGTGGTGGTTGGCAATATGCATTAAAGAGAATGAACATTAGCCAAATGTCAATTCCCGAGATGCTAAATTCTAACTGCCGATCACTAATTAACAAGGTGGACTATCTCCATTTCCTACTAAGTCAAAACATGTGTCGTAATTGTGGTGTCTTCGAAAACCAAGAATCTTGGTTAACTGATTTACAGGAGGATTGCTTAGTATCACTACGTGATTTCAATATCTATCATCAAGATCGATCAAGCAATAAAAAGAGGTGTGGCGGCGGTGTAGCAACGTTTGTAAACGTAAACTGGTTTATATCTGCTTTTGCTTGTTTCAAGTTTTCAAATGACTTTATCGACTGTCTAACTTTGAGGTGCCATCCAAAACACCTGAACAAATACAAATATTTTTATGTTACCAACATCTACATGACTTCAGACTGCACATCGTCTGCGCTATCTGTCTTCGCTGATAAATTTACTGAATTCGCCGTTACTGCTTTCAGTGATTCACTTTCAATTGTATGTGGTGTTTTCAATTCATGTGACTTTAGCTTCCTTACATCACTAGATCACCAAAATGTAGTAGATTTTCCCACTCGTTTGGATGCTCATTTAGAGTTCGTTTTCATTAATGATGCGGATACATATGTGACTCGTAAACGCGCTCCGTTGTCTAGCTGAGATCACTACCTAAAGTATATGGTAAACATGGAAAGAATACACACATACACCAGACCAACAAAGTCATATACAGAAATTACTCAGAAGAAAATATACATAATTGGAAAAACATGTTTCGTACGACTAACTGGGAAGTATTTACAGATGATTCACTGGAAAACACCACTGGTGTTATCACCTATTATCTTAAATTCTGTTTTTTTATTTGTTGTCCTACTGAAACCATTTCTATAAGTTTATATCGACTTACATCTCTACATCTAAAACGACTACGGAGGGTAAAATAAAGAATGTACAAAGAGAAAAACACTATTGAAGTTCGTAAGTTAAATGGTCAAATAAACCTAGAGATTGGACGTCTCAACTCTTTGTTTGATCAGAAACACCTATCTTGTAAAAATTCTCCAAGTATGTGGAAACTCATTAAAGAAATTACAGGTGACAGGTAGGTTAAAAGCGATAACCAGCTGAATGTTTGTAACTTAAATAAGTCCTTTGTATGTCAGTCGTCTGACATCATGTTCCCTACATCCACAGGTTTGAAGAATAATTGTGTTCCCAGTTTCACTGAAAATGATATACAAAAACGCCTTCAGTCACTTAATTCATCCCAATGTTTAGGTTCTGATGGTATCCAAAACCTCCTTTTTAAAAAATGTGCTGATGTTTTATGTTATCCATTAACGAATATCTTTAACAGATCCTTCTCAACTAATGTCTTACCGAAAATGTGGAGAAAGATAAAGATAATCCCTATACCAAAGAAAGTATCTGGTGATAAAAATGTGAAACTTAGACCCACAGCAATAACTTCAACTTTCCTCAAAATAATGGAAAAATTACTGATACTCTCATTTCAACCTGCAATGAAAGAGCACAGTGATCCATATCAGTTTGCTTACAAATGCAAAAGAAGCACTTTAGATGCCGTTGCTGTTCTGCATCACACTATAGTGTTCGGGTTGGAAAAGGGTAAGAAGTATGTTCGATGAGCTTCTCTGTAGTATACTTCTGCTTTTGATTCTATTCCAAGACACCTCTTACTTAACTAGCTGATCAGCGTCAACACTGACAGCTGAATAAAGAATTGGCTTTGTTCCTACCTTTCTGGAAGAGAAAAGTACACTGTATTTGAAGGAAAGTGTTCAACATCTCTACTGTAGGTGTGCCACAAGGAGCTGTTCTTTCACTTTCTTTCTTCATGATCTGCCATCTTCCACAGAAAACACTTTTGTAAAATATGCGGACGACCTCACCGTATGTATGCCAATTTCTACCTCCTTACATCCTATAGAAATGAATGAGTTTTTATCTCGTATTGAAAGGTGGTCTGTTTGTAATGGTCTCTTACTTAATCCTTCTAAATATCAAGCTTTTAACTTCAGCCTGAGACATGGACAGCACCTATACAACATTTTATGATCCCATTATGCTTGTGCCATTTCTGACTCCCTGGTAAACACAGTGTCGAAGGTCAATTATCTTGGTGTTAATTTTCCTTCTTATCTCTTTTTGTCTTCCCATGTTTTACTGTTATCTAAAAAAGTTTACCATTTGACTTACTACATAAAGTGGCAACATGGCTTTGGGATTACTCGACATTTACTCTTACAATTTGTCATTTCCTGCATATTACCTATTATTCTATATTTTTCTCCATTATTCTTTCCCGGGATTTTGAGAAAAGACTTTGCTGTACTGTGTAGAGTGATGAAGGCAGTTAGCTAGGTGTGTGGTAAATCTTTTGAGGTCATTATTAATATGGTTGTGGATAGACATCTTATGTCTTGCAAACTCCTGGCAGGTGTTATTTTATTAGATCATAACCATCCGCTTCATTCATATTTTATCCTTGTATATCTTCTGGTAGAACGAGACGTAAATGCAATAAAATCCATGCACGCAAGAAAATCTGTAAAAGTTCTGTAATACCTTACCTAGCAAATTTACTTTGTGACGAACAGGCTGTTAGAGTTGACCTAGTAAATAACCTGTCTTCTTAAGCATGTCTCAAATTCGATAATTTGTATAAGGTTAGTTTTTTTAAATTCGTTTTCTGTTTTTTTTGGTAAAAAACTTGTTGAAATAACTAATGCTGAGAATTCTATTTTGTACCAGATTATAATATTGAATAAAGCCATTAATAATAAATAAATAATAATAATTGTGTAATCATTAACAATTCTTGCAAATTTTAGTACTGATGTTGCAAAACAAAGTCTTTGTTTTAATCTTAGTAATTGCAACTATTACATATAAAGAAATTTTCTCAAACTTACATTACAACATTATAGTTTAGTGACAAATTATTTAATGCTAAGTTCTTAGAATATTAAACAAGAGTCCTCCGTATTCACTTCTACTTGAAGCAAGCACTGGTGACAGGATTCTATTTCGATGTCAATTATTTGAAGGTAGTTGGCAATGTAGAGTAACCTAGACCAGTGACCACAGTGCAACTAAGAACTATGAAAACAGACATTGGTCACTAATCAGTGGTCAATGAATGTAAATATCTCAGCTCAGTGGTAACAACTCAGACTGTAAAGCTAGATAACGCAAGTTCAACTTTCATATGCAGCAACCAGTTCCCTCAAGATAGCGAGTAATTGTTGCTGAAGAATGTTAACCAGCACCAAACCTAGGTCCACGGTTTCCCGCTATCTACCATCTAACCCCGATCAAAAAGTTACAGATGATCTTTAAAATATCTACTATACCTTAATAATACTTTAAATGTCTTGGAGTAGAAATGAAAATGCTTCAGTTATTCAAAGCAATACCTGTATTTTTCTCGAATTATTATTGAATAACTAACAGAAAAGAATATAAGTACACAAAATAAAAAGGCAATATTAGAAAACCATTATATACAAAGAGCTAATACAGACAAACTGAAAAAATTCGAAGAAAATATTGACAACAAAATAAAACTAATAAATATTCGCTTAATTAGAGATCAATATCTAGATGAAAGGGATCATATAAGTTTAGGAGAAAACTGTTTATCATACAGTATACAGAAGCAGAGGCAAAAGTGAACTTGTGATATTCTTCAACTATCCATAAATGAAGAAATCGACTAAAATAGAAAATGATATATTCACTCATAATTTATGTTGTTTTATTGATAAAGTAAATAAAAACACTCAGAAAAAGTAGTTTTATTCTCGAAATAGAGGTGTAGATAATATTATAGAGTTGAGATCATGAGTCAATTGAAGCTAGACCACCATGGAAAACCTGGAAGCACTGGACGGCCGTTTCGTCCTATTGTGGGACTCTGCAGCAGTGCGCATCCACGATCCTGCCTCGCGAGATCCGAACCTAGGACCTACCACGTAACTTTTAACAACTGTCAGTAAACTAGACGATTTACAGAAATACCTTTCATATTTTATGGTCCAATATACGATTAGTGATTTGAGATAAGAATTCTTCAGTATCATATCAGAATACGATTTCAATGAACGTGTTTATTTGAGTTTGAAACTGAATTTGTTATTATACACGTATAATTCTTGATAAGATCAGTTCTCCAAACCTTTTATTAACAGGTATATTTTCCTCTCGGTTAATACTCTGGGTCACTGAATTATTTGAATACAAAAGTTTTGTTTTCTGAGGTTTTGTTAAACCAATAATCCACACTTTCTAACGTTGTATACACCGATCTTATCAAAAAGGATAAAAGACTGGATAAGAAGCTTTATGCCAAGGCCTGAATGACTATACTAAAACATATACCAGTTTACAAATTGCTGCATTGACTTAGATAGGGATATGTGGAGTGTGGGTAACCTTGGCCAACTGAATAAACCAATTACACTAACCCGCAAACACTCATCCCTGATCTAGCCTTGAAGCAACATATAGTGTATCCCGTTTGTTTGGAACAGTACAAAAGCAATCTCATGAGAAACAATTTTTTTAAGAAGGTAGCGTTCCACTCCACATGTACGATTCTCAAAAGAATATGAAAAACTATTACAATGTAGAAACAGCTCCAAAGAAGTAAGTATTATTGTCAGTAAAATAAAAACAGGACGTCTTTAAATTTGATTTTCAAGAGTTCTATGTATTGCATACACAGTCGATTAAATGATAATCATTTTATCTATAAACAATCTTAAACGCAATGCCTTAAACTACTACATGGAAGATGACTGATACTAATTTGCTGATGTATTTCAATTATTATGAGTACAGCCATAAAACTGACAGTTGAAAAATATTCATAAGGAAAAGAATCTAATAACAGTCTTTTGGGAAGGTTATAGGTTGAAGAGCTGGCATTTATGAGCTTCGTAATTGTAAGACTAACGAAAACAGTTTCCAAGGTAGTTCAGAATGTCAGCTTGAAGAAATTAACAGAATGGCATGATTGAGATCACGAAGTTAGATATGCACACCATTTAGTCCCGGATCAGTCATCTAGAAGTTCGCAAACGAGACCGAAGGTCCTGGGTTCGATTCCCGCCTGCAAAGTCGTGGATGAGCACTGCTGGAGGGTTCCATAACAAGAAAAGACAGCTACCAAGTTCGCCCAGGTTCTCAATGGTCGTCTGACTCGGGTCGGTTTGTAACATCAATAACACCCAACAATAACCACAATCCCCAATCTGATACTGAGATAATAGTTGAAATTTGTGCTTCGAACTTTTAAGCAGACGAATATTTAGAAAATTTATCGTTTACCAACAATTTACTACTTCAAATAGCTGGGAAATAGTTTTACTTTTCTTAATTTCGGAATAAACTGTTACATGGACTATCTCATTCAATCTTTGTGACAATCAGCAAAAATATATTATCATTCTGGAATTCGTCACATTAGGTAAGCACTATCGACCAGTTATTTTTATCGGTTTTACATAATCGAAGGACTTTTCATAAAAATTGTGCTTAACTGCCTTGTAATATCACGGCTGTAGTAAATTAATCAATAGTACAGATTCAACTGATAGTCTCATTTTTCCATCTACTTTCACCATTGTATGACTGAGATATCACTTTTATTCTAAATAAAGTCAGAAAAACTTTACTTACACCACAACAAAATTTTTACTAACTTTTTGTTAATTAAGGAAGAAAAAGCTGTCGGAAATTTTTGATTTACTGTCGGTCATCTGCATTTCTGGAAGTAATTTCATGAAACGGTGAGGCGGATGAGACTATTGACAAAACGTTTAATGTTTCATTTGATAAGACAGGTTGCTGTAGTTGAGCAGAGGCTTCATCAGCAACACTGGGACAATCCTGTGTTGCAGTATCATCTCCAGTAGAATTCGGAAGTGAGGAAGATAGATTAGTACATAAGTCATGATACTGAGAGAAGGACTCAAGGGTAGTTTGACTTAACTGAGGTTGATGGTGATGGTGATAATAATTTACAGGAGTAGATGGGTGTTTCGGTGATGTGAATGGAGTCGGAAACTTATGAGTAGTTAAACGAACAAGAAAAGCTTCCAATTGACTTAAAGTCAAAGCATTATGTAGTGTTTCCAGGGGATAAACTTCTGGGACACATGGAGCACTGGGAACCAAAAATTCTTGAGAGCTTCCAGCTAGTAATCATAAAATTAGTAAATAAAATGAGATATAGTAGTTATAAGATATTTGTGTGGATTTTACTAATAAATTTATTGACAACAATACCCTTTCAGAGTATGGAAAGAAAATAAACGCATAATTGAATTTTATATCAAAGGTCATTTTAAGCTACTCGTCTATTCAATAAAAGATAATGGGAGAGGAGAATAAAAAAATGCTACAGAAAAAAATCCTCTTTAGGTTGTGAGGGATTTATTATTAGTATGGAGAAGTGTAGTAACAAACTAAGAGAGAGCTCTGACTCTATGTATTTTAGAGGACGTAGCTCATCCATTTACTTGTTAATCAACTAATGAAAGATTGGTACATATACCAAAGTAAATAAAGTCAACTATGAATCAAAAGTTTGTGGCGAGTGGTTATGCTATCCAACCAGCTATTTTTTAACGAGTGGGGAGCATAGCTAAGATGTGAGACTAGATAAATCAAAGTCAAGTGCTTTAACTGCTACTATGTATGATATCCAGATGCTTTATTGTATGAACATGGATTTGATAATTAAGAACAGAATTGAATAATGAATTGAATGAGGACTAGTGAAAATACAAAAATGACTTTTATAATGAAAGGATACTAAGTTTTGATTTGGAATCTATTACTCAAACTAATTACTAGAATAAAATATAAAATTTTGATCCAAGTTTTTAATATTTATCCATTTTCAATAGGTCTTAAAATTCAAATAATTCAAACGATATTTAAACATGACATTGGACTTCAATTTAGATAGTTTTTAGTAGAAGTATCTACTGAAATGAAGGAAAAATTAAAATCTGAAAGAAATTTATATAAAACGGAAGTCTAAAAAGCAATTGAAAGGGAACATACAACTTCCCATAACTTACAACAGATTAAAATGTGATGTATTATAGTTTGTTTGAAGTAGATGTTTCATAAGTCATACGTACTAATAATAATCCCGCACAAACACATATATTTAAAAGAAAATCACAGTAGAATTGTCATTTAATTCATGGGTGAACGCGATTATGCCTAATGTAAATTTAAAGACAAAAACACTCATTGTTCCTATCATTGCATGCAAAACACCGATTTCTACCTAATAATAACGCGCACATACTAATAATCAATGAATGTAACTAGATGATCTGTACTTCGCAGATGACCTGGCCCTTCTATTTTATACACGAACAAAAACAGGTCAAGGTAACTAGTGTAGCAGAAGCCTCTGCGTCATTAGATCTCAACATTCAAAAGGGAAAAAGCAGGATCCTCAAATACAAAACGGAAAACACCAATACAACCGCACTTGATGGAGAAACTCTGGAAGAGGTGGAAACTTTCATATACCTGGAAAGCATCATCGATGAACATAGAGGATCTGATGCGAACGTAAAGGCGGGAATTGGCAAAGTAAGGACCCCAGTTTTACAGTTGAAGAACATATGGAACTCGAAGCAACTGTCAACCAACATTTAAGTCAGAATCTTCGATACGAAATTCAAGACATTCCCACTGCACGAAGCTGAAACCTGGAGAACTACTGAAACCATCATCAAAAGCGTACAAGTATTTATAAACAATTTTATATGAAAGATACTCGATGCCTGTTGACCGAATGCCATCAGTAATAGCCTACTGTAGAAGAAAACAAATCAGCTTCAAGTTGAAGAGGAAATTTGGTAAAGACACTGAAAGTTGTTAGGACATACATTGAGGGAAATACCAAACTGCATCATGAAAACAAGCCCTAACTTGGAATCCTGAATGAAAAAAAAAAACAGAAAAGAGGAAGACCGAAGAACACACTACGCGGAGAATTTGAAACAGACATCGAAAATATGAATAACAAATGAAAAGGATTTCCCAGGAGAATGTTGGTGGGCGGCCTGTGCTCCAACACGAGAGGTAACAGGCGTAAGTAAGTAATAATCTAGAAAACAAAATACGGAAGTCGTGTTTTTTGGTAGGAAAAAAAACCCAGCAAATAGCTTAAGTGAACAAACCACTCACGTGTTAATGTTCGTGGTGCCACGCTTATATCCTCTGTTAATCTCTTGAAATCAGGAACACTACTAGATGCTTGGTTATCATCACGTGAACCACGTATAACCGCTGTACTTATAAGACTTCGACATATTGGCGGTGCAAACGGCACTCCCGAGGCAACAGCTACAAAAAAAGAACAAATAGTGATAGATAGTTTTCATTTTTGTGTGTATTTGCTTCATTTTACTAAATGTATCTCTAATAGCCCTTGAAAATAACTATCAATTATTTGTTTAGACAATCAATTGCTATAAACAAGAAATGATGAACTATTAAATTGGAACTTAAGTTTATCTGAGCTAATTGAATATTTTCTAGTAAGTAACTCATCAATTTTTATACTTTTAAATTAAAAAAGGATGAAATCGTACAACAATTCAGTGTTTAACAAGTAAAACGATAACGCTAACTTGAGGGAGGAGGTGTAGTGGGGTGGCTAGAAAAGTGATATTAAAAAAAATACAAAACTAAATGAATCTATTTAGTGAATTATAAATAATAGAATGAATGAAACTTACAAGAATACAAGCAAATAAAAGAAAGTACATGTTGAGAATGAGCTAAACGAAATGAGCGTATGTATATGTAAGCAAGAAAGCCACCTGCTTCAGTTTGAGCGCCCGGGATGTATCTCAGACATCACAAAATTCGAATGATGAAGTGTGGGGCGTATATATTTGGTGCCTCCTTGTACCAATGTTTATATATTCGAATAAATAAATAAACATGTTGATGCATAGAAGGATAATTTATCGATCTATTAAACTAGAATTGTCATTAATAGAAAAGTTTAGAGATATCCTTTTGTTGATATTTAGGAATGGATTTTGATCAATCACAGACCGCACATATGCATCTTGAGCTGACTGATTCTATATAACTGGTAATAATGCATATATCATACCTGTTGAACAAGGCAATGACTAGACTAACTAGCCAAGTTTTTTGAAGTGTAAAGCACTCAATCCTAATCCTAGTGTTAACAACACTGGGATTCAAATACATTAAGCTGAATGGGTTTTAAATAACGTCCATCTTGAATTGCACTGATAATCACAAACTTATTTGTTCCAGAATGTCAATAAATACAGAACTGAAATCAAACTACAAATTAACCCTTAATCTTGTGGAATTACTAAAACTGGTAGATACACACATTACATACAATTAGTATCAAAGTACTAATTAGGTATTCAGGTGATAATTTTATTTATACAAAACAATGTATGTTATCTACAAATACATAAAACAAAATATTGATGAATGAATTGAGTATTTTTATAGCTGTAGATGAGAAGATAAAGGTTGGTACAACATGCATCCATAAATGACGTGCGACAAACCGACATAAAAAATGACGTAAAAGCAAACAAACAAACAAACTTGAAACCTATTAATGACTTATGCTATAATAAAAAGAAAATCTCTCCATGATCATGCATAGTTATTTCAAAAATGTCAAAAAATTAAAGAAATATTCAGTCCGAAATTTCTTTCGCAGCAACTACACTACATTTGAGGATTAGACAAAAAAAAACTAAGAAGTACAAGTGTTTATACTGTTGTTATACACATCATTTTTTTGAATACCATAAACTCATAAAACATGATGAGAATATCTGCTGCTAAGAGAAACAAAAACCATTCAGATATTCACCACATATGACGTTTTTCTTCAAACAATAACATATTGTTTTATACTCGAAGCAGACAAAATCAAATGTTAACATACAAACGGCATTTCCCATTAGCGTTATATGATACATGTATAATTTTCAAAAAGGGATTAAATGTCTAATAACGGTTGTAGTTATATTTAATTAACAATTTATGAAGTATCGAATACACGTTTTTATCTAACTGATACTATTTAGCATCACTCTGGTTATTTTTGTAGAAAAAAAAGTACATAGATATTTAATAGTCATATATCTTGTCGTACTTTTTCCTTACAAAAATAAATAAAAGAACAGAGAAACCTAACACAAAGTAGAATAAACAAAATGTTATGAGTTATTAGTGTAAAGATAACAATAAATGCATTACAAAAGGCGGTAAACAGTTAATATACTGAAACAGAAAGCTTCCAAGTGTAAGTAAGTAATGTATGAAGCTTTAAAAGCATTCGCACAAATATGACGGTAGCTGAATAAATATACCTGAGAAAGTATGTTCCGACTAACAAAAATAGTATGACTAATAATAACAGCTGATGATAAGGGAAAAACAAACTATATGTATCATCCCAAAAACAATAAGCTAGTTTTAAGAAGTAATTTTGAAATGAAAGAACGGCTTTAGGAAAATCAATTATAACATTCACTGCTTACATCGAAAACCAGTAAGGGAAAACATATACTACTTTACAGAATGGGCCTAAGAAGATTGTTGAATTTCATTAAAATTACAACCATTGAAAACCTGAAAATACTAGACGGCCGTTTCGTCCTAGTATGGGACATCCTAGAAACGTGCATCCACGACCTCGTAGGCGGGAATCGAACTCAGAACCTACAGCCTCACACATGGACGCCAAACAATTTCCGCAAAAATATATTGAAAATTATCATAAGCTTACCAATGACTAATTTCGAGAGGAAATTTCCGGAATTCTTGTGAGCAGCCGTGATCAATGGAGCTAAAGTCTCTTGGGTGTTGGAAAAGTACTTACTTAAGTCAATGGAAGATGGTCACGCGATGCCGTGAATTTATTGAAGTTACACTTGAAAACAGTTGGATCCCAGTTCACTGATCTATGGATCCTCAGACTAATCTTCCGTTGTAAGGTCGTGGATGCATACTGCCGAGGAGTCTCAATACTGGGACGAAATGGCTGTCCAGTACCTCCAGGTTCCAGCTTTTATGTAACTTATATCAGTTCGTGATTTCAATGCCACACTAAGAACATGGTGAAAAATATAGTGACAGTCGAGGGTGAGTAAGATTTAAAACCACTGGAAAATATGAAAAATGTAGTGTTTCCTAAGCTCTGTGATTTATTCATTTCCGACGTTATCAATCAGTAGTATAGGTCAAAAGAGTTTTAAATACGACAGTTTAATGAAACAGGAGCCGTTAATCCAGGTCATATGAAACGTACTCTATCAACAGACCATGCACCATTAATTCAAACTGGAAACAGGCAATAATACAAAAATGATGCCAAATGATGTTACGTGAAAACAACGAACATTGTATAAATGAAAAAAAGGGATGTATGGAACATATAATTTACGGGCTGCAGAACTGAAACGTCTGTAGATCTGTTCAGTTTCTAAAATACAGATGAAAAAGATTCCAAATTGTGCACGTATACACACGATTCATCTAAATAAGATGACAGTATGAAAATACTGTACATGATTTGGTCGAAATATAATGTGAATGATCTTTTTAACTAATAAAACTGATTATTCCTTACCATAGTATTTAATGGCAGGTGACTCTATCGTGACCAAAAAACAAATGATATTTGCTTAAGAAATACTAACTTATAGTTACATCAGTCGCAGTTGAAGAAAAAGGTATGTAAGTGGAATATCAATTAAGTTGAAGTCTATAGATAATACTGAATATTTTATGAATGAATAAATGTTAGTTAATATCTCTAAATGAAGCACCAGTTGGACTCATACATCATAAAATTATTAAAAGAAAATATCGCTTAACAGAAAATAACAAAATATTTGTTAGATTTATTTTAAAATATGTTTCCAAGTATCGTTTCATGAACAGAATAACAGGAAATTTTTAAACCAAACAAAATGTTTATTGCAGCGAAATTCTGTAACAAAAATAAACCAAAATACATACTCACAGTAGTTTGAAAAGTAATAAGCATGACATTTTTATTCATTTGAACACATAAATGTTGGTACAAGGGGGAACAGAATATATATGAGCCACACAATATCAATGAGTCCAGTAGTAGTAATAATTGATTTGTGTGAGGGTTGGAATACTACCCGGGTGTCTAACCAAAGCAGGAGGTTTTCTTAGAGGGCCACAACTCGAAGCCTTCGATTTAAAGGTCTAATTCACAAGGCAGTGGAACAACGTAAGGAGATGCAGTTGCAATGGTAGACGTTGGTGAACAATAGGCTAATACGCCATTTGTTCCTTCAGGATCCTGGAGCCCATGTGCACCATTGGTTTGGAATTAGCGTTTTCCAACTCTCCTAGGTGGACCCTCCGTGTCCACCAAACCGGTTAAGGAGCCGGAAATTTACTTTTCGTCCTCTCATTTTCGTAAACAACACCCCCACCACGAGAAGGCAGTGAGTAAGACTTCCCTGGTATTGGCTGTATAAATGTGGCCATATGAGAGCATTTCGAGAGGGAGAAATGATCCACCCTCGACGGTATCAGGTCATTTGAGGGCAAGGTGGTATGGTATGTGATATTGATTTACAGGTACTGTTAGCCAGAGCATTTGGTAGAAACATTTCATAGCAATTAGCTGACTGACAGAGATACTACTAGTCTATGAATTTATGTAAAAAATAAAAGTTTTCAAACCAAAGACAAAGATACAGGCAAAATCTTTAGCATGGAATTTACATGATATGAACAAAAGTTAATTAATATGATTTAGGTTGACAAAATCTGTGTTATTGAAATACTTAATTTTCACCTATGAAGATTATTTGACATCATTACTTAACTGAAAAATTTTCGTATAGCAGATAAAAACTAATGGTTTGTTAGTAAATTAATCAAATTTTAAACATCTTAACACTAATTAAAGTGTATGATAGAGATAGTTTATATTCATTTTATTGCTATAAAACCTACCTCTTACAAGACGCCCAATATCTAAATGATATGGGCTTTGACGACTAGGATAAGTGATAGCATTCAAAGTTTGATTGATAACAGGATCATCATCTACACCACTGTCAGCCCCAGATGACAAAAAATTGTTGACTGGTTGAGAATTAATTTGATTGAGTGGTAAATCCATTGTAAATTGAGTCGATTCATTAGTATTGAAAGACACCGGTTCATCAGAAGAAAGTGGAGTTAAACGAGCTCGAGTAGATGTGGAAGTTAAATCTTGATTTTTTGATGAATGGACAGGACATGTGCTATTATGTTGATTCAAACTAGTAGAATTATTTGAACCAGCTGAATCGTATACTAATAACGAAAACAAATTGATTACAAACTATTTAAATAGAGGTGGAATGAAATGTCAGAATAGAAAAAAAACAGTGAACAACACAATTTAGAACATACGAGTTAAAATTTTACTGAACAAAGACAATACATATTTTGTAGTGTAGTGTTCCGCTAAAAAAATTAATGTCATAAATGAAGATCAACCCCCTAGATGTTAGTTTGTTTTTTTGTGTCAATCTATGATTGGAAAAGTTCAACTTTGTGACATTCATAAACGTTTAGGACTGAACTTTAAGTAATGTTAATCATTCCTTTTGAAAACAGTTGGTCATACGTAATGCAGAATTTGGCACAAATATCGATTCGATTTGTTATACTGCATTAAAACAGTGAAAAGAAATTATTAAAAACCAAATCTTAGGTTAGAAGAAAGACGATTAGAAGTAGAAAAGACTAGGAAAAAAAGAAAAATATATTAAATTTTGGACTCAGGATTTGAGGGAGGACAGAGTGAATGTACGTGAGCCATTGAGATTGATTTTGAGCCATATTATCTAACGTCTCCATACTCCAACTACGGTAATCATATGGACCACAACTAGGTAGCTTGTACTTACCCACATGGTTTAACCCATCTGTCAGTGACCGCATGGACTAATGCCACGGTTTGGTTTGGCCAGGCTTAGCTTACTTCCTGACTATTTCTATACTATGTAACAACCAACTAGGTAGATGGTGGTTGGGCATACGTAATTCATATGCACACTATTGTAGTGAATGAAAATATAATGCCTTGTAGTGTCGGTTGCTTTGTTAAGCCCATATACCTTATTATTCTAGCTTCTGGACATGTCAATTTATCCATTCTTCTTGAGTCACTTTTTGACCCTGTTATTTATTCACTTATCAACGTTGACTGCTTTTATATAAGCGTACGCGTATATACATCTTATTCTACTCATTACATGTCTGTAGCTTATATTTATGTGACTATAAATATCGATTAACGCTTGATTAAATGGAGTTGGCTCATACACCTCCACCTCGCGTCATTTCTCTCCGCTCTCTTCTATTCACTTCATCCCTCTGGTTTTATGTTCAAATCAATGAATGTGTAAAACATACGTATTCAAAACTTCATTCTCGCATTTGACTCATATAATTCCGTTATACACTAAAGCGGATTAAGTCAATAATAACATACGATAGTAGTCAGTGTGTATATTTCAATAAGACTCATACGATTCAATTGCATTCAGATCCCAGGGCCACTAAAGCATCAGATAATGAAATAGACTAGATAAGAAGCAAGATTTTCCATGTAAAAGAAGAAAATCGCATCTGAAATATTCTTGATCAGCTCTCAAGTTAATCAGAAGAGTCTGTACTTTGTCAGCGTCATTACCAAAATCAGCAAGTGGATCTCTTGGTGGGAGATCGATTCCTGAAAAGGTAAACGGTGAGAAGGTTACCACTAAAAGAATGTCTACGATAGACTTGTGTGAAAACAAGCTAAGTAGACAACCTTGAGGAACACCGATTAAAATTGACATGTCTAACTTCAGTTCGCCATAAGCTTTAACTCGACCAATTAGTTCTCGAATAGAGCCCATACTAGGTTGATTTACTTATTTTTTTACGCTTTTCAGTGACAGACACTGCCATGAGGCACTCCCACCAACGTAGATGAGTGTTCCCTTAAGGTCAAGGAATACAACTATAGCCGGATATCAGAAAGTACGTTTATGTTCCACAACCTAATGTGGGATTAAATATTTATTCGATACATCGAAGTCCAGGTTCTAAACCACTCTGATCTTCCAGGGTTCTCTCTCTTCGTCAATCATAGTAAAGCATTGGACGAGATTGTAATAAGAGGATTTTATTTATTTCTTATAAACTGGTATGATGAACAATCGCGACCAACCAGATGTAATTACATTTATTTCCCAGATTCGGGCTAACATCTCAGTCAATCTTATAATGGATCCGATAGAATATGATGAAATACAAAACGTGAACAACGAACTGATTGACTGCAAATGAGTATCAGTGAACATTAAATAAGTTCAGTCTATCATCGCCTCCCTTCAAAATCTGCGTAGTTTACTACCAATAGAAAATGCATGCTTCCATACAAATAAATATCATCTAAATATCCCGAACAACTTCTAACAAAGAAATTTTAATTCTAATCAAAGAGATCTCTGTGTTTTCTTTACAATAATCACAAACATTACAATCAGAATTATGTCAGAGAAGAGAAGCTCACAAAAAAAAGCTAAAACAATTAAAATCAATAAGTAATATAAACCTGGAAACAAAATATAGAAATGATAAAATGAAATTTTATTTGATATTATGAAGAAATAAGCTATTCTAATGGTAAGGAACAATTTTTATGTGACTGTATGCAAGACCTAGCTTAATTAACCACATGAATACTTTATGTCGAAAAAATGGAGCTATCGGATTAAATTAATTGACAATACTGGTTCATCACATGATATTAAGTAATAAGGTTAATTCAAATTCGACCATATTTATTTCCTTAGGGAATCACTATCGATAACATTTGGGCTTACTATAATTACAGTTGATTAAAGTAATAGATTAAATTCTTTGAATTTAAGGAACTTTTAATGACATATTCCACATTTATTGCATTGGTTTTATGAATAACAAAGTTGTGTTTTGATATGATCGACTAGATGAGCAATACGATGTTAAAAAAGAGACTGTATTTATAAAAATCTCAGCAATCTCTACATCGAATAACTGAAACATTTCATTTGATAGTCTGGTCTGAGTTTCTTCAGGAAAACAATCAATAATCAAAGTCATGGAACATAAATAGGATTCATAAACTAACTGTGTATCCAGAAAATTGTCTGGTCATGGTAATAATATTGAATTTGTTGAAGTGTGTAAATGAGTCCTAACTCATTAAATATTATGTAATCAAGTAACATTTTATTAACAAGTTTTCAATTTTTTAAACAATTACTTCGATCATCTCATCTTAGTTTGAAGCAGAATTTATGATCTTGTGGTCAAAACAAGATAGAGAGCAACCTCAAAGAACAGGGAAGCGAATGGCGTTTGAACCTGCCTAGGACAAGCCATCCAGGTGGAGTATGAAAGCGTATCATAAGATCAACCAGAAGACGGATTATTCTTGCGCCCTTCAGGCTTCAAACAAGCTTTTGTTGATTTACTAAGGATCATCGTTCAACGAGGCTTCCGCCGATAAGACTTTACTTTGCAACAAAAGATGGAAAGAAGCGCAGTGGTTCACTACGGTATCTTGGAATAGATGGATACGAGAATATCTACGAAACCTTTAAACAAGGGACAAATGGTTGAACATTCAAAAATATCCGCAACCAGGCGAATTAGTTCTCGATAAAAATATTAAAACAAGTAGGATTCTATGGCCCAAAGCCGTTGTAGAGAAAGTAGGCTAGGGTTTTGACGGATAGATTTGAACAACAAAGTTAAAGACAGCGACCGAAGAAATCATTCAAGATGCATGAAATCTATACTTACTTAAAGAAGTCAGTTGTATAATGGCGACGATGAAAGAAGATAGACGTGGTGTGAGTTTGGAAGACGTAAGGTGTTATCGATAAATGAGCTGACGAATGACAGCACTAAATGACGACCACCACACTAACTCTCTTTGACCTTGCATGACTATGCCTTGTTTATTCACCAACCACAATTTTTTGTTTGTCATAAACGATATTAGCCTTGTTGACTCATTTTCCTTATCCATTAGTTACTGTTCGGTATATCACTGATGTCTCTATTTCCTGTTTATTATACTGAATTAATTGTTTTTGTATACTAACTGTTAATTTACGTTTTAGAAACAGAAAAAAGTTTTTCAAGCCAAACAACTTACTTGTTCTTACTTCCGCTAAGTTAAGACTCTGTGCTCAGCAGTCTGGGGATTAGTTTAGAATTGCTTCAGTAAGAAATTACTTTCTACAAAATGTCTGCTACTTAATTTAGCTCACGTTATGATCGCAAATCGAATTAGGAAGTATTTGAATATTTAATTTCAGGCATTAAACATAAAACAATCGTTTGCAGTTTCAGATCTTGCGACAATGTTTCTAACAGTTTTGTTGTAACCCGTGAAGTATTATGAATAGTAACTTTGAGGACTATTTATGTACCAATATGATATGTATATTTCCTATTGTATAATTGTTAAGTAACTAAACTATTCATATTCGTGTCCCTCTTATTATAAGCTTTATTTTGATCTACAGACTATAATTATACGATTTACCATTCTTGAGTTACCCTAGTCCATTAAATTCTGTCCCCCCTATTCACGGTCACATTTGGCTGAATCTTGTACAAATGTTATTTTCTATTTTATGGTACGATGTGGTCAGTTTGTTTGGTGTATAAACCCAGTATGTTTTTGAATAATGATTAATATTGCAGAGGCTGTTATTGGTGTTCTGACCTTAACTGCTTGGGCTAGGCAAAAATCAGGTACTCAAGACTGTTTATACAGCTTTTGTGTACCATTGGATCCGATCGATAAAACCACTGCTCTCTGATTGGCGGGGATCATCAACAACTGGGCAAGAACGCAAGCACACAAGTTATAACAAGTTTGTTGTTTAAGCGGATTTAAACTATAATATTCTTTAAAATTTAAAATACTATCAATACGGTCAAAATGGTAATTAGTAAATACTAAAATTCCTTAACCAAAAGAATAATAAAACCATTTCCAATAGCTAAATGCTGACGATGCTAATCATTATAAAAAGGGTGATTTCTGAAATATTTTATTGAATAAGCAAAGTAATACTTATTCAATAACTACTTCATATTGTTCAATTCATAAATTTGTTCCAAACAAACACGAGTCATCCTATTGATCAAGTGAATATATATATATATATATATATATATATATATATAACTGGTAATGTTTCCGAGAAGCACATATATCATGTTAATTGTACGGAGGAGAGACAATGAAATTTGATTTTTAAGAGAAGAGGAACAAAAGTTCATCACTGGTGAGCATTAAAAATATTTACTGAGGAAAGATATTTTAATAATGGTGAAAATAGACTCAAACGTTTCCAAATAATTTAAAGAACATTTTGTCTTAATCTTATCTTCGCATATAAATTTTCTACACTGCAAACAAAAAATTTCTTACACAACTAAAAAAATTTTTAAAACAAGAAATGGCAGATGCAAGAAGCAAAAGCAAGTACATGGACAAGAGAAAAAATCTCTCATGCAACAAATTACTGCGATGGTGGAACTTTCAAGAACGACCTTAAAATGATACTCAAAAGAATGTATACTCACTTTTACGAGTCCCCGAGGTTAGCCATTTAGGCATTTCCCGAACTCTCTACAACGAGTAAACACGTGGGCAAAAATAGTGATAATAATAATACAATTACAAATATATAATAAGAACATCATGCAAAATGGATTAATAGTTGAAAAATAAATTTTTGATTATTGTCAAAAAATCAAGTTGACAATAAAATAATAGTTGAAATCATGAGTCAACTGAAGCTAGACCACCATGGAAAACCTGGAAGCACTGGACGGCCGTTTCGTCCTATTATGGGACTCCTCAGCAGTGTGCATCCACGATCCTGCACTCGCGAGATTCGAAACCAGGAACTACCAGTCTCAAGCCAAAGCCCTCAACCAATAGACCACTGAGCCGGCATCCAACGGTGTTCAGTTGACTCATGATTTCAACTATGAAAATACTAAATTCTCCACAAAACCCCCTCTGATGAATAAAATAATATTCAATACTGTAAAAATATATGCCACTCTAGTCATGAAACATAATTAAATGACTTGTTGAATGGATATATGAAATTTTGCCATCAAGCATAAATATATACTTTGATTTTGACGGGCAAGGAGACAAAGATAAAATAATAAAATAATCCGATATGTAAAGTCAGACTTTCAATATTAAAATATAAGTAGACATAAACTAAAAGTGAGAGAATGAAAGTAGAATCTTAATAAGACAAAAAATATTATAAATATCTGGTCATACATATGCATCAAAGAGTTAACAGTCATAAAGTACTCATAATAAGTTTGCTAACGCGACAATATTCTTAATCCTTTGGCATTTAAGCGTATTAGGATGAAACGTTTTTATTGATGACAATCTTGAAATGACCATGTTATTTAAAATAAGTTCTTTCACTTTGACAGTGAGAATGCAATTTTACAAATAATTTCAATCATACTATATCCAGCTTTGAACAGTATGATACAAACAATGTGTGTAAGTCAAGATTTCAGAATGTTTAAGTCGTTTAAAAAATCATTATATTAAAATAATTTCAGTTAAAACGAATTAATAAAAGTTATCTCCAGGATATAAATCAATAAATATCATTCATTTCTTACCTTGTCTTCTATGTTGATTGGATTAGATTTGTGATCCTCATTGTCACCTTTTTCATCTGATTTCACTAAGTGTTCTGACTGCTTTGAAAGCCATTGAATTACAGGAGCGAAATGTGACGAATTAGTATTTGAACAGGAACATTCAAAAGACAGTTGTTCATTATAATCATATTTCTTAAACTTGCCAAAATCATTAAGCTTACCTGTCGTTTGAAGTAGTTTTGAAATACATGAATATCTAGGTTTTGATAATAGGGTTGTAGTTAAATTTGTCCTTCTGTAAACATCAGGATGACATGAATTAGACCTATTACGGGCAGAATGTTGGCAGAAATTTGAACGTGAAAAATGTCTAAGGTGGTACGTTTTCAGTTTATTTGTATAAGGTGATGTCGATAATAATTTATCAGTTTTTGATTCACTTGGAAAAGTTGTACCCCAACCACTTTTATTATCAGTGAACCGCGTGACAGTGAATCGTCCAATACCAACTTCCGTATTTGACGCTGTAGGAGTTCCAGTTAATTCTAGCGTAGAGGTTGATGGTACAGGTGATAATGGCAAAACAGAAGGACGACCTTGAGATTGCGATCTGTGATTGACAATCAAAGTTTCTTCGTGATTTACAATGTTTTCTCGAGAATTATTTGAAGCGAGGTTACAACGAACACTATGTGACCTGCGAACTGGACATTCCTTGATAAGAGAGGAATCCTTAAACGTCTCTGCTTGATTCTTAAATACTTCATACGTATTCCTATCACTATCAAAACTCCAACGAAACAAATCTAAAGAATCAAGTTTTTTATACTACTGTTGTAGATTTACCTGAAGCTTTATCGTTAGCGGAAGATTCCGAGAATGAACATTCACTTGAGTCAAATGACCCAAGATTCTGGTGATATTCACTACTTTGTTCTGTTTGTCTACTACTACATCTATCAAACAGACCTTTCTTGTCTTGTTCACTAGCAGGAACAATAGGTGTAACAGAAGGGATTGCTGATTGTGGCACTGAGTCAGAACTTCCTTTATCCACAGATGTACCGCTACTCATTACGCTCATTTGAGAATTCAGACGCTATTTATTTATTAGTATTTAGTACATGAAAGATGTTCAACATACGGAATACATACATACAAAGATGCAGGAGTGAAACATAGCAAGCAATATAGCGAAATTATAACACAGTGATATACAATGTAAGCGTGAAGAGCAACACAGATGAGTACACATGCATAAACCCGTGCACATAAAGAAAAGCCAAAAGTTAAAGATATAAAAAATGTTTACGCAGACATATATATGATATGAATCAGAGAAATAAAAGCAAAACACAATGCCAAATTTCATATTAAAAATTTGTTTGAGTAAAAATTACCCATTTTTAGGTTGCAAATTTATGAACGTACGTAAAACCCGTCAGTGTCCATATGATAGTGATGAGGAAGGAAATAAAATCAGGATGAGATGAAAAAATGGGGATAGTTTTATGAGACGTTAAAAACTGACTGTGATATACAATATTTATTTGCTTATTATGATAAGCAATAACAAATGCATAACTTCTAAAACAGAGTGGAACTATACAAGAAACAAATTTCATTTTTTACAAACTAGGGTATAAACAGTCCAGCATATAGTTGAAGTTATAATGAGAATTAGATTACTTAATAAATGCACGAAAAAAGCAACGGCCTCAGCAAACAAAATATGAGGATAACGTTTTGTTATGCAGAATAAGTGAGAAAGCTGGGAAAGAATACTTATCAAGATACGAATGATGAAACATTAATATTGCAAGAGAGTTTAATATATAACAACTACCTTTTTCTAAGAAATGTATTATTGTGGTTATTGTTTCTACTTTGAAGTTTTATATTCGTAAATCTTAATCACCACCGATTATTGACAAATAATCTAACAATAGGTCGAGAATATTTCCATAATATCAGGAATTGATTGATAAAATCATTTCGTCGTAGCGGGTTAGTGTCTTAATGAGACAAAAACATTTTCTCTCACAGGATATGTGTTAGTTGTTAGTCTAAACCCCTGAACTTATAAGCTTCAACATAAAATTATCATGTATAATACTCACCAGACGAAAAAACTGATCAACATAACTTACTATTGTAATGAATAAATTCATACTGAATGTATTGAAAGATGTTGAATTTTATTTATAGTGAAGAACAATGGACTAAAATAATGAAGCATACTAAAGATGCATCATTGATAGGACATAATGTTTGTTGAAAGATATTTAGATACTGAGATATCAAATGTTTACACTAAACTGAAATCCGTCAACTGTTTAGCATAAAATAATAGGAAACTACAAACAGTCAACAGTTTTCAAGAGATGATTTTCACGAAATTTATATACATGACCTCAGATCTATACATCTACTTTATATCACTCACACATTTGGAAGAAACAACTATCTAAACTGAAAAACCTCAGTTTCACGAAAATGTCTTCACACAATAATTTTAAATTGAGAATATTTTCAGCATTAATTTAAGCTAGACTTGATCTTGTACAAGATGCCCATAAGATGTACACTCTGTGCACAGGTAACTAGCAATATTTTTTGTACAATACTAGAGAAAATCTGTTATAAAATGCAAAGAAAAACGTTTTCCTTCCAAAAATGCTAGCGATAAATCATATAGAAACGTACCACCAATTTTCCAGATCGAAAACCACTCCCTTCAGGAAGATCGTGACATAATGCAAAAGCACCAGGACTAAAGTGTAATTCAACATGGAATCGTTTTTCAGTTTTTGGTTCCTAAAATTTTGAAATAAAATATACGAAAAATTATGTTTATTGTTAATGCAAATGTTTGGAAACTAAGAAAATTGCTGAAAAAACTGCCACCAAGTTTACTGGTTTAGACGTTTTTTCAAAAGAAAACAATTGAAACATAAACGAAGCATTTGCCACTGTTTTACTATTAGAATGAAGATAAAATTTTAACGGCCTCCAATTTAAATGATAACGTTTTTCCAAGTATTCTAAGACTTCAATTGATACAGCTTAACGTCATACTGAGGGTTATAACATGCGAGTTATGTTTGTTAACCAACATATTTATGAAAAAAAACACGAATGTTACGTCAAGTAAAATACTCATTGTTCTATTGTTCATGAACCATGGGAAAGTTCCAAAGTTATGTATTTAAACATTGCTATTTGATGAAAATTACCATAATAATTATCAAACATGTTTACATCATGGGCCACCTAGTGATCATTTTTTTATTAACTAAAATATGAATGTTACGCCTTATAACACTTAATCTCTATCTAGAATCGTGTTGCACATTGAAACACATCTAACATATTCCATTGTGTTAATATTGATAAACTGAGTCAGTCAGACGTGGGCAAAACGGTAACTTAGAGTCGATGTTAGGTCCATAATATTGGGTAAGGTTTGGTTCAACTATTTGAGGAAATAGGTAATAGGTATATCCTATTGATTGAAAATATGGCTTAATTTTCTAAAACCAATCTATATTAATGAATGAGTCATGAACACATTATCAATCCGGTTGACAAAAAGAAACTTTCTAATCATTATTGGTTTTTTCACTACTTTAGATGCTATCAGCTCGTATATAAGTAGGGTATATATCAGTATCAGACTTGGACGACCGAAGAGCGTAAATAATATAAAAGTTGATTGTAATAAGATCATAATTAACCCCAAAGAAGTAATGTTAAGATTTTGCGTTTTCATTGAATAAAATAAGGTTTGTTTTAACGGATTTTCCAATATTTACTAGTGATAAATTTTTCTGTATGATATCCAGACTCAATGGCGAGACTAAAGAACATGGACGAGCCAATCAGAAGCTTTCGCGGGTTTTCAAGGTCACGGCGGTAATTTCGGAACATGATGATTACGTACGATCGCTTTACAGCGGATTTTCGAGAAGACGTGATAATTGAGCGACTACAAGTATAGGGATTATTAAGAAGCTCCTATACTTGTGACTGCAGTGGTCAAAAGACCATTGTACGGTGTGTAGACTATCGTGATGATATTACCTTTCGATGCTCTTCATGATGGAAGAAATCAGCTGGAACAGGGACTTTTTTCGCTCGGTCAAAATTAAGGTTGAGACAAATTATGATACTTGTTGCGAATTGGATAATAAAAGTACCGGTAACACTAGCTGGCACCTTTGCCGATGTAAGCGGATTTTCGGCAGTTCAATGGTACGAGTTTTGCCGAGATATTTGTGCAACAAAACTGACAAGCGTACAGCAATTGTATGGAGGAGTGGGGAACATTGTTGAAATAGACGAAACGGTTGTAAGGAAACGCAAATACAACCGTGGCCGTTGTATTAAAGAAGATTGGGTAAGTACCTCTTCCATAAACATACCTCACAGGTCCTTGGAATATATGATAGATCATTACAAAAAGGACATTTTCAAAGAGTCAGGAACCGGCAGGCACCAAAAATCATACCGATTATACAGCAATATGTGCTGCCGAGCACTACTGTTTATACAGATGATTGGAGAGCGTACATGTGTCTAGGTAGACTGGGATATGCGCATGAAGTCGTTATACATAAGCGCCATTTCCTTGACCCTACTACTGGGGAGCACACTAACAACATAGAAGCTATGTGGTCAAGACTGAAAGAGTTTTTGAGACCCTATCATAGCTCCAGAGGCAGACTACTGTGGAGCCATATGAATGAATTCATTTACCGCATGCAATATGATTTTAGAACTTCTGAACCTATATCCAACCTTGATAAGTTTTTAATTCATGTAAGAGAACACTATCCACTTTACTTTACACAAACTGTCTTCTGATTGGCTAATATTTTTCAAGGTCATTTAAGATTCGTTCAAAGGTCGTCCATGCTCTCTAGTCTCGCCGACTCAATTAATGATTAATGTACAAATAAAATTTTATGTATAGTTTAATATTAGACCGTTTATTTGATTAAAAATAAATACTTGGCATAGACAAGATACGAAAAAGTCTTATCTAGTAAAGAAGTACACAGTAATCATTCTCTTAATCCAAGTAACTATAGTGTTTAAATGAAGGATGATTTTTATTAAAATGTATCTGAAAACAATAATATGACAAAATCTTATACAGACAATTTAGTTTTTTAAAAGGTTAAATTAGACAAACAAACGGTGATAATTTAGAATTACTACGAGAAATTGAGACAATAGATAATGCTTATTAGTAAATAAGCTTTTGTGTAAAATAATCCATAAAACAAGCTTTTGATATTCACCCTACCCCTAAACTCGTACTTGAAAGTTCCCAGTCATTTTTCAGACCCCCATGAAGAAACATTTGTTTACAATGTGGGTAACTGGAAAGTGGTAACCACTTTCCGCTACATACACATCACCTCAATATAGTTAGGCTTATTACTTGGTTAATGATTGGTTAGCCTATTGTTAACTGGTTAGCAGCACCCACAGACCTCCCAATCGATGTTGGCCCACCAACAACTGAAGAGATCAGCATTACCATTAGACAAATCAAGAGCGGCAAGGCAGCGGGACCAGACAACATCCCGACAGAGGCACTGAAGGCATATGTAGCAGCAACTGTCAAGATACTCCACGTCCTCATCAGTAAGATTTGGGACGAAGAACAAGTACCAACAGACTGGAAAAAAAGACTTCTGATCAAGATACCAAAGAAAGGCGATCTCAGCAAGTGCGACAACTACAGGGACATCACTCTCCTCTCAATACCACGAAAAGTTTTCAACCGAGTATTGTTAAACAGGATGAAGGATTCCGTGGACGCCCAACTTCGAGATCAACAAGCTGGATTTCGTAAGGATAGATCGTGCACAGATCAAATCGCAACTCTACGGATCATTTTGGAACAATCAATCGAATGGAATTCATCACTCTACATCAACTTCATCGACTACGAGAAGCCATTTGATAGCGTGGACAGGACGACACTCTGGAAGCTTCTTCGACACTACGGCGTGCCTGAGAAGATAGTCAATATCATACGTAACTCCTATGATGGACTAAATTGCAAAATCGTCCACTGAGGACAACTCACCGACTCGCTTGAAGTAAAGACCGGTGTTAGACAAGGTTGCTTACTCTCACCCTTTCTCTTTCTCCTGGTGATCGACTGGATCATGAAGACGTCAACATCTGGAGGAATGCACGGAATACAGTAGACAGGCAGGATGCAGGTTGACGATTTAGACTTCGTGGATGATCTGGCTCTTCTATCACAAAAGCAACAACAAATGCAGGAGAAAACGACCAGTGTAGCAGCAGCCTCAGCAACAGTAGGTCTCAATATAAACAAAGAGAAAAGCAAGACTCTCCAATACAATACAATATGCACCAATCAAATTACACTTGACGGAGAAGCTTTGGAGGATGTGGAAACCTTTACATAACTGGGCGGCATCATTGATGAACACGGTGGATCAGATGCAGATGTGAGGGTGCGGATCGGCAAAGCAAGAGCAGCATACCTACAACTGAAAAGCATCTGGAGCTCAAAACAATTGTCGACCAACACCAAGGTTAGAATTTTCAATACAAATGTGAAGACAGTTCTACTGTATGGGGCGGAGACATGGAGAACTACGTAAGCCATTATCCAGAAGATACAAGTGTTCATCAACAGCTGTCTACGCAAAATACTTCGGATCCGATGGCCAGACACTATCAGCAATAAGTTACTGTGGGAGAGAACAAACCAGATTCCAGCAGAGGAAGAAATCAGGAAGAAGCGCTGGAAGTGGATTGGGCACACTTTGAGGAAATCACCTAATTGTGTCACAAGACAAGCCCTCACATGGAATCCTGAAGGTCAACGGAGAAGAGGAAGACCAAAAAACACATTACGCCGAGAAATAGAGACAGACATGAGAAGAATGAACAAGAACTGGATAGAACTAGAAAAGTAGGCCCAGGACAGAGTGGGTTGGAGAAAGCTGGTCGGCGGCCTACGCTCCATTGGGAGTAACAGGTGTAAGTAAGTAAGTCTATTGTTAGTATAGATGAAATCCTGAGATAAAAACCAAGTAAATAGTAAACAATATCTCACAAATGCAATGAAAAAGAACTATAATTATTATGAAATGACCACATCACAGTTCAATTCCTTATCATTTAAACATTGCAACTATTCAGATACACATAAAAAAATGGTTGTTTTCAAATGTTACGGAACCGATTGTTTTCCATAAAAAAATTGGTTCATTTACTTTCAAATGTACTGAGTCGAAGTGGATTGATATTATAAATCTTACTACAAGGATAATATTCGTTATCAATTTTTCTCGCCTCGGCAATTAACAAAATTATGAATACTTTTTGCGAATATGTTTTTGTAGTTAACGTACTGTTGTTGATTACTGTTTTGCCTTGATACCCAGGTAAATTGAAGATCATGATTTTTCACATATTTTGAAGCTAGATAGGATGTAATCGGCACGTAATAAGCAAATTTTAAGGGAATAATGTTTCTACATTTTGCAGCCTGATGGTTGCTTGGTATTTTTAATAAAGGTAGTGTAGTGTACAAGTTACATAATGCCAAAACCGGTTAAGCTAGGCACTTCCATAGCATATATTCTATATAATGAATCAAAATAATGTAAAAAAAATGCATAGTACTGTCTTAGAATAGTGTCCATCACTATTCCTTAATTGATGCACATTTCCAAAAAAAGTTGAATACGTCAAGGTTTAATAATACTTACAATATCATAAAATACAACATTAAGAAAGTAAGGTAATATATATCATGGAAACTAACCACAGTAGGATCTTCATAAATCATAATTACAATTTGAGCAAGATAATTAATTTCAGAAATAGACGATACATAATCCATAGCACGTCTCCATTGTTCATCTGTTACAATATTAGCTAATTCACCATATCTTAGACAAGTAAGTAAGGAGTGAATATGACTTTCACTAGTGAAATACAACCGACTACGAACAAATCGTTCTGGCGAAGCAACTCCTTTTGAATAACTGTTAAAAAGTATTGTACAACACATAAAACAAAACGTGAATAAGATGACAGTATAAAATAATCTTTTTTTACAAAGAAATAGTTAATATAAGTGAATATTCTTTTCGAAAAAAATGTTTGGCTCTGTCAGAAATCGGTTAAGAAAATGAGAAAAACTTAACAACCATCTGTAAACTCATGTTTTAATCTCTTCTTTAGCTTACGGAATAAGAACAACTTGTATTATTTGATCCCTAGAATGATTTAAAATTTTAAAAATGCTTACACTTGCTATTCAGCAGTTCGAGACCTAGTGTTTTATATCTACTATGTCAAACCGCTAATTCATACAATAGGTTTTGGTTCACATAACCTATATCTAAAAATATATAACACATCTAGTAATATTATACTTTCTCTTTATTATTCTAAATGATCAGTAAATCGATTTTTATCAAAATTGCAAACAAAACTACACATTAATGACGAGAATATTCAGCAAATTATCAACCCAAGAATTTAATATATCATTGTAGTAATATAAAACAGTAATAAGATTACAATGCACAATCACACACACACACAGAAAATATAAATTTATCATTGAGAGTAGTTGTTTGTTAATTTTTTTCTTACTTATACTTAAATAACAGTAGATATATATACATATAAATCATTCCATATATATATTCTTTGTTTCATTTTATCTAAGTGAATAATTATGAATAAACCGTCAAAAATGAATTCCAAGTAAAATTAAAGAAATGAATAATAGATATTCTAGAAAACTTTTTTAAAACTGAGTTCGATAATGCTTATCATCCTAGTAATAAAATCAACCAAATATCAATATAGGGAGAAAAAACGAACATACAGAATATCGTCAACTACTTTTTTTAATGGATTCATGAATAGAGGGGAATGTAATTCATTAAGTTTATTCATATAAATATAAAAATATAATTTCAGATATTAGTAAAGTTCATTTAGAATTAATATTCTATTTGATTTTATAGAAGTACATAACATATGAATATAAAATCTTTTCAATGCTATTAGCTTGATGGTGGTGATGGTAAAAACAACCTTCATAATAAAGAGATAAAAAAAACGTCCAAATAAAGTTGATCAGAAGAATATTAATCTGATAACTACCTAGTCCTAGTGAATCCTTTGAAGAGATTGTAAAACATTTATGGTATATTATGAACTGAATAAATTTGCAGTATATCATTTAGTGAATTTGCAAACAATGAATAAACAATAATTTTAAAAAAACACCATAACCTAAAGATAATTATCTGTATAGTGTATATTAGGATTTAAACTACTGATGAGTTATAGAATAAAACGAAAAAAGCAGTTAGGTATACGACTTTTTAGTAATTTTCCAAACTACACTAAGAAATAGCGTAAATTGCTCTTACATTGAATTAGATTCAATTCAAACGAATTTCTTCTTTTTATGAACGATGGTTACCTCCTAAAATCACAAGAAAATTTAACCAATCAGAATATCGATTTCTCTAAATTTGTCCCTGAGCTAACTAATGACACACTAACTAGCACTAGTAGCCTAGAGTCACCGTTAAGTCCTTATTGATACTCGATTAGGCAGCTTCTAGTGCTGCCTGCCCGTTGGGCCCAGAACACAGTAATCAGCCTGCACTATGAGAATGTTATATCGCGAGAATACATAGTTTATATACGAACATAACCGACCACACCATACCATAAATTAAAAACAAAAATAATACATGATTGAGCCAAAAAATGACTGTGAGTAGAAGGGGGGTGATTGAAAAAAACTGGCAAAAGAATAAGAATAGTAAACCTTAGAACAGTAGTTAATAGGTTAGTCAAAAGTTCATTATATATATAAAAATATATATATATATATATATAATTATAGCCCGTAAGTTACTCCTGAAAGTTATCATTCCTTTACTCTTCATCAGATACAACACTTTTATAAATACCAATTTATCCAAAATCATTAACAAGGGAAGCAGTTATTTATGTTTATCTTGAATTTTGTTATTACCAACAGACAACTTTATGTTTTTCATCTAAATTTCACTTGTGCAAAATATAGTGCAGTAACAATAACAATTTATTCATCTTACTTCACTTCGTAGTTCAAATTAATTAAATAAGTTAAAAATAAAATTCACATTAATAGGATCACTTAAAAAGTATTGGCTTAGTGTTTAACATGATTGACTAAATTAAAAGTAATAGCAACTAAACTCGAATTATTTTTGTGAGATATATTCACAGTGCAGTCTTTAAAACCCAGTAATCATAATACCAACAAGGATATTCGAAGGAGTGAGACTAGAGTCTTCTAATTCCAAATGGTCGACTAAATGATCAACAAACAATATAACATTAATAATTCAAGTAAATATACCATGTTAAAGAAATGGACAACTAAAAAAACGAATATGGAATACACATTTCAATCTAATAGTCAACTGGTTAATTTATATTCAGTATGATATAAATTTCCAAACTACTGACAGTCTGAAAGAATTAAGTAAATTAAGACAGTTACTACAAAAACGACGTTAGTTTTATATTTTGACTATTTATTGTCAATGAACTAGAAAGCACAAATTGAACCAAAACCAAACCTATTGATGTGTTATTTAGCAACTTTCTTACTAATTAGTTATCAATGGATATCATACGATAAGTCAATTTAAACAGATTGTTTACATTAGATGTACTTAAGGAGTAATAACTGCTACTTTAGCAAGAATTAAAACAGAATAAAACTAATTCGTAACCTATAAAATATGAATAGTACAATTTTTATTCGCTATATTATATGAAAGTTAATAATTTTGAATACATGGCTTATATGAAATAATTAAAATAGAGTCTCGACCAAACATGCATCCAAAAGCAGCACATCTTATACTTATCAATGAAAGTCAAAACGTAAATGTCATTGACACCATATCGTAAAGTTTGTTTCAAACAAAAATTGAAACCGAAACAACGAAACAGTTAAGATATTCACACATATTCATGCTTATATATACAACAGATAAGAAACAACAATATATATTCATATATCTGAATATGTGTTTGTGCAGTAAATAAATATAAAAGATTTCATTTAATTGGTGCACATATAAAAACACAATTGAATATTTGGGCTAACTCGACCAAGTTAAGTAATGCTTCAATAGGACGCAAAGTAAACAAGAAATAATCAAGGTCTCTGTTAATTAAATAAAAAGAAAAGTGGCAAAAACTAAAACATGCTATTACAAACACGACAAGGTCAAAATTAAAATCTTTTAAAAGTTGTGAAGAGATTATACAATCAGACCCACCAATCGGGACAAGGTTCACCGTGATTTGGGCGATGGCTAGAAACAGATAGGTGAAGTAAAGTAAAAAAAAATGGATGATAGGATGCATGAGAATTTTAAAAAAGTGGAAGTGAATGACAAAAGAGATTAGGAACAGACTAGCCAACCATGCATACATTTTGTTATGATAACTAATGTTACGGCGATGGCGTCCTAGTGCCAATCGAAGTCTGTCCTTTTTTACATAATTTAGGACCGTAAAAAACCCTCTTTAAAATTGTTCAACTAGTTTCTAGCATAGGAGTGGTCACAGAGTTTGTTGGATTTGCATTTTTACACCATAACTGGATTTAGTCAAACAACCATTAAAGACAAAAAGGAACTAGACAGCTCTTCGTAAAATAGGAGTCGTCAAGAGTGTGTACCTACAACTCCACCAGTAGTTCATGCTTAAAATCAGTTAGTCGATAATATAAAGAGCTATTTTTGATAAACCATAATACATCTGAAACAATGAAGCAGAAATCTCAAAATTCTACTGGTAAAGTCCTTTATGGTGGTCTTAATAACACAAGCTTTATCGTCGTATTTATCAAACGTTTTCCTAAGTTTTGTAATAAACCTCCGTTAATGTGTCTAACCAGTCCACAGGGTACAGTATTGATTAAACCCAATAATATAATGCCGATATCCACCAAAAGTTGAATACAACGATAGCATACACATCGTTATTTTTAGTCGAAAACTATATAAATGGATAAGCATAAATACATAAAAGGCTGTAATAAACAAAAGAAGGTCCTAGATTCGTGGGAAGAAAGGAAACGTCACATTTATCCAGCCACACCCATCTCATGATGTGTTGAACCATAAAGAAGGACGATAAAAAACCAGTTCAGTTAAAATATGGGCAACTAATATGACGGGAAAGCGTAATATTTATGGTTTTTAGTTAGTTAGAGTTCCAGCAAATCACAAGAGTAAAACCGTGACGGTGGTCAGCGAATATATAGCCTCTACCAGGGAAGTCCTACTCACTGCCTTCTCGTGGCATCACTGTTGTTTACGAAAGTGAGAGGACGAAAAGCTTTAACCGGCGCTTTAACCGGGTTGGTGGATGTGAAGCATCCACCTAGGGGAGTTGGAAAACCCTGATTCCAAACCAATGGTGCACATGGGCTCCAGTATCCTGATGGAACGAATGGCGAATGAACCTGCTGCTGGTCAACGGCTACCATGGGACTGCATCTCCTCACGATGCTCCACTGCCTTGTGGATCAGACCTTTCGGTCAAAGGCTCCGGGTGTGGGCCCCTAAGAAAACCACCTGCTTCAGTTCCGGCACCTGGGCAGTATCACAGCCCTCAAGCAAATCGGATGAGATTTGTATGGCGCATATGTATCTGGTGCTTCCTTGTACCAATATTTATGTGTTTAAATAAAATAAAATAAAATAATAGTTAGAGTTCCAAGAAATATTAAATAGAAAATTAAACAAATGATATATTGTTTAAGTCAGTTTTTAATAACTGAACATTCATATTCTACTGCCTAGTGCAAATATATCACTCGGATATCAGATGGAGCTGTGATTTTGTTGTGAAATCATTTACTTTTGGGTAGCATGTTCGAACTTCCATTAAACCGCACAGCTTTGGACAGCCTGATTCTTTACATGTAAATTGTGACTCAAAGCCAGTACCCTAAACTGTTGTAGCATGGTAAATGAATCTAGATTCATTATAAGCTTCATTTAAAACTTATGAATACGGAGCACAGAAATAACAGAAATAGCAGGAAATTAGACTGAATATCAGACCAACCGACGTAAACATGTTTCCTTATGACTTGAATTCTCATAATTAAATTTGCAAACTATAATAACCGTTGACAAGCTAGATATCGATCCATAAAACCGCCTAGATCAAAACATAGGTAAGATATATATTGACAAACAACTCCGCAGTCAACTAGCAATATGATTAGTTCTAAAGAGATGGCTAGACAAGATGAGGTAGTATAGGAATATAACAACTTATGGGAAGAGAAATTAAACATCACATATTAAAGCCTAAAATAATAATATTAGAAAAAATTTTTATTGAGGTTAAAATTTCAAATTCTCAGATGAGAAGAGACTACTAATTGAAAACAACACTGTACATAAAATCATGATTTCTTGATGTCGAATAGTAAAGGTTTCGGGAATTTATAGTCTGGATAGAAATCATTAACACGAGCTCATATTTATTAGCTCACCCTCAATAAACTAAATTAAAACATCGTAATATTTACTAGAACCAAAGTGTAATTTGAGTAAGCCTATAAAACATCAATGGAGATACTATTAACCATTATATAAGACAAAAGACAATAAATTAAATAGTTAATAAAAAGCCATATCACGCCATGTGAGTAAGAAACTATACCAACCTATCAATAAGTGATTGACCTTACAAAAAAATAGAAATAACCTCAATAAACAAGCTGATTTGTTAAATTTTAGTGATATCAAAGAAGACAGAGGACGCGATACATCTGCAGTTATTTATTAGTGGCACTATCAATAACAAACATGAGGTGAATTAATTAGACAGAATGGCACTGCTGAAAGGTTCATGTTGAGTACGCTGTTACAGACAATAAAGACAGTTAAAATAAAAAAACGATATACAACACGAATATTATTTATAAAAATGACTCATTTAATTACAAACAACCCTTAAACATTAAACAACAATGGTTTCAACAGCATAAAATCATATACTGTTATAAAAAACACTAAGTTACTTAGCAAAGAGAAAATTTGGACAATTTAATGGATATATTTGTTTCCTCATTATTTATTCATCTTCACAAGCGGTAGAAATTGTTAAGGTATATTGTTTCATAATTACTGATATCGAAGATAACTGAAATAGTGTACACAAATAGTACTCTTTAACTGGAATAGCAGAACATAGTAATCAGAGGGAAAAGTAGGTTTATAATATTCAAAAAATAACAAAAACTATAGAAACGTAAAGTTCTTCAGGGATATAGTCTGTCAGACCCTAGTAAGGAATAATAAAAATAATCACAACATATATATATATATATATACAAAAAAATCGATGATATCTTACAACAGTATACCGTAGGGCATAGTATTTCGATAAAAGCACGAAAATAATTGATTTTCAATGCCATCAAATGTGTCAGTAAGGAGTCTCTATCTTTTCTTGAGTAATAAATTTAACACGCTGGTCATTAACTAAGCTGGATGATGAAGAATAAAACTGAAAGTAGGTGGTTTACAAACAGACATTTGAAAATATAACATTCAAACTGCTTAATGAAGAAAATTAGTATTAAGGGTCGTTTTTGCATAGGCTCAGATCGTAAACGTATAATATGCTATTTCCAAACAAATAATCCGTAGAATATTGTATAGACAGAGAAGATAAGCAACAAACAGATTAATAATGAATATGTTTTTCTTATATCCCAATGAGTAGAAAAATTGTATTTCTGACGTTTCGTGACTTAATGTAAACCACTTCTTCAGAGTAAATAAATAACCGTAATAAAATTAAGAGAGCATACATAGTTTTCAAACTAAACTATTTGGGACTCTTGAGCACATGCATCATTCTGATGTGCACATAGTACCAGCAACATATACCCAATAAATAGAGTATTTTTAGCAGACAGTTTAGTGTGCATCATGCATGTAATCAAAATACTTTTGAACTAGAATATTAGAATATTAAATAATAAATAAATAGATAAGTCCATTAGCAAAACGAAAAGTTTTTTCCTATCTCACAGTTTTAATAGACCATACAACCGTAATTATAATGAACGTAAACTAAACAAAAATGACCCAACCAAGAAAAAAATGCGATTTATAAAAGTTCACTTCAATAAAATTAATGATTTGGAAGAGGAAAGAAATCGGAAAATTATAATAAATGTCTTACTATACTTATTTAAAGGACTTTCAATTTGTTGTCTCAGCACATCTAAATGGTTGATTCAACCTCCTTTTATATATATATGTCTCTGGGTATGTTCATTAGTCATGTAATGGGCTTAAAAGATGATTTCTTAGAGAACTTTTTCCTTGAAAAACATTGTTGACTGCTAAGTTTAAAAGGAAGTAAACACTTAATGGAACATTGCATACCCTTTTTCAATCCCATTTATTTTGCATCACTCATTTCATATTTCCTACAGGCTTAAGTTTAGTAGATTTAAATTAGGATCAACTTCAGTTTTATGTTAGTAGTAATGCATAATGTCCAAGACAATAAAATAAAAACGCCCCATAATCTACATATTAAATACATCAGTGTTACACCAAATTAAAGAATAAAACACTTGATAATTTGATAATTTCCAATAATTTGAGTATTGGATAAATTGTTAATAATAAAATAATGACATTCATATAGTCATAATGAGTAAAAATATAAAACTCAAAAAAGTTTTCCCAGTTGCAGAGAAAGTCGTAGCTGAAGTTTTTCATGCAATGTCAAACCCTATTGTGCTTCATAGTCAGGAGGGCCTAAAGATTCATTCAGAATAAACGATCAATCCAAATATCCAAACAGTCAATTTTGTTTATATCTCGTATCAAGAGCAAATATATTTAACCGTACTATTTTACATTACAAATATTATATTTTCCACATATACTAACCTACAAATAAGTACGTCTCATACAGAATCACTTTCGTCGAAACGACATGATATTAACGTGACCAGATCTATTTTTATTATACTAAAAATAGTGTACTTTATATTCTTTGTATCACCGAGACGTTTGTTAATTTATTTCATTTGCTTTAAAGAAGTGGCACACACGAAGTTAGTGAGTCATAGCTCCACAGAACCACAGCGGACATTCATAAAGTCTATCATTATTTATAGAAATGAAAATAACATCAAGCCTTAGAAGCATCATTTCATTCGAATTATACTAAAAACACAAAAATGTGTATGATATAGTTAAGACGTTACAATGTTACTAAGTGCACCAATAAACTAATATATAATGAAGAGTAATACTCACCCAGCATGCAAACGTGTACACTCATCTACATCTGTATAACGAGCATCTGATAAAATTTTTCGCATAAGTGGAGTACAAATACGTTGACCTATCACTAGTTTTTCTTCTTTTGTTATACCATATTCCTATGAATAAGGAAAACAGAAAGTATAAACTTTTTTCTTGTATGTGACGAACAGTAGAAGACGAAGACAAAAATGGTATTGAATAAAGAAAAATTAAGAGTTCTTATCGTAGCAGTTTCACTTGAATTAGTATGTAATTAAGACAATAACAGTGGTAGTCACAAAGCACAATTACTTCAGATTAGTTTCATCAAAAGTTTCAAATTTTAAAGAATTGGAATGAAGTCCGCTTTCGTACGAAACGCAATAAATTATCTCTAGGAAAAAAAGGATAAAAAATAAACCTTTGTAATTTATCGTATTGAGACGAAATCTAAACCCCAATTGTGGACGAATACATTGTGCAGCAATCCGCTCCATGATACTCAAAAACTGTAGGATTAAGTCACTGACGGTAGACAACATAAGAATAACGGTAACTTAATATAAGCCATAGAAACATATCATATATGTGATCAAACTGACGAATGAGCAATATTACCTTATCTGATCATGGCCTTTTTAATTTACAATTTGTCAACTGTTCTCTTATTGTTAACAATATTTTTTATCCTATTAAGAACTGGAACGATTTAAGCAAATTTAATTAGGCTTGACGCTCTATATTATAAGGCCTTTCTGTTTAGATAATGTGACATACTATAGCCTATTGTTTATTTAGCGATTTGGTTCCTAGAAAAACAAAGGAGATAATAAAATCAATGTGAAACACTGATGTTACCAAACGGCTCAACTAATAACAGTCAAAACAGATTATATTCAAACTGTTTAAGGCAAATGATTATGGTTATTGACAAATTTTATCAATCTCAGCAGCGAGTGAGCACTTGGAGATGCGTTGTTTGTACTTGCTTTACTCTCTGTAAGAAGACTAATAAATTACTGTCAAAGTGAGGAATGTAGATTGTTTCAGTAAAAAGCATTAACACTATTCTGTTTGCAGCCTCATACCTAGGGATTAATTGACAATGTTTTTTGGCTGAGAATGATATCCAAAAACAAATTATATTTACGAATTTGACCGCCAACTAACCGATAAATTTTATTGAAATATTACGAAAAATATCTTTTTTTCTTAACAAGCATCAGTAGATGATAGTTTTAATATTTTACCAAACATAATAGTTAGTATAGCTAATCAGGAGAAAACGTAAAATTCATGGTAGGAGAAACATCAATGGACCAACAGTAAATACATAACTGCAGTTCTTGATTTATTTTACTTAGGTCCGAGTATATGCGATTCCTTTTCGATATTGCATTTATTTACTATCATTTCTTTTTCCATATACACAAAATTAAATACAAGTCTGTAAAAGCTGGGAGCAAATTTAAAGTAATTTGCAGTCAAATTAAAAATTAAATTGTTGCCGCTACAAAATATAAACTTGAACGTAAATTACATCACTAGTTTTATCACTATAATGGTTATAAGCATGTTAGATTACCTGTGGGACAATAATGTCAGCTAGCGACTTTGCACACATGAAGAAATCTTGCACTTCAGATTCTAGCAAAATGCCAGAATTATGTTGCAAATCATATTTTATGTTGTCATATATATCTGAAATTTTAGAAAGATCATATTCTCCTTCAGGAGATCGAAAATCTTTTAATAGCTTTCCCCAACGCCTGAGCAATAGGTCCCAACTTTCACCCTGATACAAGTGTATTCGACTGCGTTCTTTGGAACTTCGCGAGAGCCAAGCAAGACGATTAGATAGCAGACGAACATGTTCAAACAGGCGACCACAAGCTTTATATGGGCTTGCAACATACTGCATAGCATTGATTATGGAACGTGCGCCAGTAGGAACAAGAGTAGAAATATCTTCAGCGGTGAAATCGCTGTTTTTTGACATCACTTCATTGATTCGACGTTTTACCATCTGCTGATAGTGACGACAATCGTTATCATTATCTAAAAGACCGTTCGTATTAGCTGACTTGACCATCTGAACAAGGATTGGTGGTAATTCCCCTTCTAATGCCAAGAAACCTTTAGCAAAAGCTGCAGCTGTCATTTGGACCCGACCCTCGTCAGACGCGTATATCTTCAAATCATGCCGATAAGTACTGTGTAATCGTAATAATCCAAGACCAGGATCTTTACCGTAGTGGCCATCCCCACCTGGATAAATACACCGAAAAGCTTTTCCCAGAGTTTCTGCTTGCTGCTTGCCTGCGGCTGTTAATTCTCCACCCCATTTCGCGACAACTAGTAAGCAAGGTTGGGTGTTGTCACATTCGGCAGTACAGTCACATGATATTGGAATACTACCTAAAAACAGATCATTTTATATCCGATGATTTCGGAAATTTGTTTCACTTCTAACAAATAATCTAATAAAATTATCAATACGCGTGCTTGTTCATTCATATGGTAATGAAAGTGATTTCATGTACTACATAATGGCCATCAAGAAGTGATCTTGTTTTACAACAGTAAGCATAGTTACTTTTCCCAATAACCTACTTTAATAGACAAGGTAGATACGAGTGATTTGACTCACATTTGCAATTCTATTGAAATAATGTCGTTAACTAATTACATCAGTGATGAACTTCTTTTAAACTAAATATTTGTGAAATCTAATCCACCAAAACCACTTCTACATAATGACATAACCCTAACTGTATTACTCACTGAAAAGATATTTGGCTTATATAAATAACTAGATGAATCTCTAAAAATGTAAAGTGAATACAGCAATTTACAGGAAACAAAAAGTGATCACTTCAGTATACGTATTGTTTTGCGCAGAAGAAAAGGTTATTCATTAATACTAATCTCCAGATCTTATGCTTCTACTAGTTAATTAGTTAAATAGATAAGAAAAGAAACGATGTATGGATAGGACTAAAATAGTAATTCTAAATTCAAAAGATCTTAAATACCAAGCAACAAATTAAATCCAAACTACGATTACTAACCGTTCGAGCATTTCCTGTTATCTCATCACGGAGTTTATATATAGACTGAATCAACAGTCCAAAAAATATTCTACTACACTAGTGTTAAGTCTGACGATTGTCGTTCTCCACCTAAATGTGTTTGAAGAAAATGTAATCTAGTCGAGATACTTTGGTGGAAAAGAGTTATTTTGGAGTATTGGTTGCTAATCGTGGAACGATCAAATGAGAAATGTTGAGGTTAGGCACAAAGTACTAGGCAAAAAAGGCAAATCAGTTGATGAGATTGCGGACATTCAGTTGAAGTGGTTTAGATATGTATTATGATATGATGCCCAAACATTAGGCATAACAGTCAGGTCTATATTGATCGAAGAATAAGTCACCCATAGGCTTATTTGGTTCAACTCCCTATGACATTTTACCATGTTGGTTTTGTGCTCATATTCCGTATGTAAGTATTTCATTTTATTGCATGAGAGACTATTCATCTAGCTATTGGTCTTGCCTTTGATTTCTGATCATTTGGAGGCTTAATTCAATACTACAGTCTCGAAAGTAGCCATCACTAGAACACATTATATCATTACGTTCACCAATCGATTAGCATTCCGTCTATTGATTTTAACTTTCCCGAATTTCATCTCATAAAATCACAGAAAACCATCTCAATTACACCGGACACCGCTTTCCTCGACGCACAATATTGCCCCCAAAAAAAACTGAAAATTAAACTGGAATTGGATAAGCCAAGACAGGGCCTTTGGGATAATCGTGATTGATAATTGGAGACATTGGGTAACACTTGCACAGAATCGGTCACAATGGTGGGGATGCATCTATTCTTCAGATTTTGAGATTGAAAAATATTTTTTATGTCTAATTCGGTGAATCAAATCCTTCCTCCTGGATCATGTTCTTTAGTCGGTCACTTCTACTATCGTTGATACAACTACTTTCAGCATTTTGGTATTCATCTCAGTGTCCTAGCGTGACATCCTAACTTGGATATGTTCTATGTTGATTTCGACTGACCGTCTAACTAAAATTGATACTTTAGATCACTAACAGGTCTAAGACTATTACGTGGAAAAGACATGTACATTCATAGGTAAAAAATTTCGATAAAGTTACATTTACAATAGAAAGAATCGAGTGCTGAATATGATCAATAACATAGTTTTTTCGTGAAATCTTTTGAACAGGGTTTCTAGTTCTCACTGAATGCGGATACTGATATTTTTACTAAAGTTGAATAGTGGCTAGTCACGCAATCCAGAACACGCATTACGACTCACCAGCTGGATGTACTTACATCCTAATGTTGAAGCTGATTATCAAACTTCACTAAAAAACTATGTAGCAGTATCGAGATGCACTAATTTCTCCGAATTTAGATATATTAACGGTTGCTGAAACTAGTACGGGTTATGTAGGCTTCAAATGCATAAAAAAGCTGAAATTTGGATGTTTTAACTAAATAAACAACAATAAAAACCGATTTGAGAATACACAGTGCATAAACACGATTGTAAAACAAAGTTCACATTCTCATGAAGAGGTATACAAGAAAACTGACACACAAGCTCACTTGAATAACCGATCTTTGATCCTTTACCAATTCCATGAGGTTGATATTTTAACTGAATTTTACGGTTAATTCCACTAAATGACCCATACATTTCTAAAACATATCTAGTAATAAAGTAAAAGAAATATGAAATCAGAAATCACTTAATACTTATAATAAGCGAAAAGTAGTGACTAAAATTTAATGATAAATTAAGCTACCTACTTTATACTGTCTAAGTTAGAACCCTTTTTATAGGCAATAATAACCATTACATACAGTCACTTCCACAAGATCTAGAAATATGCTGTTCGTCCAAGAATTTCATGACACGATTCCACTTTCTTTTATGAAAAGCAATTACATTGGGACTTTAAAGTCGTTAACCACCGATCACGATTATTTCCTTGACTAAAACCAAACAGTAGTGAATTCATGGGTTTGGTCATTCTGAAGACTATTCAACTCAAGCACTCCAGCCAATAAATATTTATAACCATGTTAATTTATTTATGATCTTTGCCCAGTACTTTTGACTTATAATCATGTAACTGTAGCTTGATCATATCTTCATAATGTTTCGAAAAGATTTTTAAATTCTTGAAACCTATCTATCTCTATCATCTTACACGGCAACTTTCTATATTCATATAGTGAAAGAGAATAGATGGTTCAACAGACAGCTTTGTATTTATTTAGAATTTCAACGTTTACCGATTTACAGATGAAACAATTTATCAAAAGATAGGCAAGTTTGATGTATACACATTACGACTTTCTCGGTCATCAATTAACGTCGCCTAATACAACTTACTATAAAAGTAGAATAGTCAAAAACTCAACCAGTTTATTAAGCGTTTAAGATACTAATTAGAGCAGACTGATCCTAAAGGGACATAATGGATTTCTATAAGTGATAAGAACAGTATTAATAAACTCTTGTTGTGAGAGTCGGTACATTCCCGACGTTAATATTAAGAACGGTAATTGATAATTCGGGGACTATATGGGCTAACCAGTATAGTAAGTACCTCGTTGGCATTAAAATCCATAGGTACTAGGCTCGAGCTTCGGTTTCAACATCAACACGAGTGGAGGTACATACAGCCTACGAGTTTCAAATAAGACAAAACATGTGTCGTAGTTTACACAGTGATAGGCAATTCAAAAACACAAAAAGCTCTCTCACTGTTAGAACATTGTAACTTATGCTGAAGTTATCAAAATTATGACATAAATCTACTTATTCTACCCTAAAATATCAGAAAATATCCATACTTTTACTATGACATGCTATGTCGTAGAACATTAATATGTTCCGGAACACTTGATGACAAAAGTAATGTACTTCTTACAGAAAATAAGAACTCACTTAAGTTGTTCAAACTTTGGCTTTATTCGAAGAAGACAATTATCTGTACATTGACCAGAATCAATTTCTTCCAAAATGGATCGTACAATATCTAAAATTTCTTGCAACTGGGTAGGACGTTTGATTTTCAATTCACGAGCCCAACCCCCAGCGTACTTAGTGAAAAATGAGAAAAATTTCTGATGACAAACTTCCATTTTCATTTTCTGTTTTGGTGTCCTGTCACCATGACGAATGACAGCGATTACACAACGAAGTTCCATTATTGCTCCACAAGTTGTTGGTACCAGAGGAGTATCTACATCCGTACCTGGAGGTAAGTTAGTCGGCAAACACAATCGCGGTGCTATTTTTCGAGTAATTAACACACCGAGAATGTGACTACAGTCATCGTAGTACTTTTTGGAAGATTTTACAAAAGAAAATCCATTTACATCACAAACGTAGGACATTCCATTAGCCCGAAGAAGGTCAAATCCACAGATTTGCTGCCGAACAGCTTTTGCCACTTTCTTGGCAATGATTTTCTCTCTAGGTGTTAGTATCACAGGATAGCGAACTTCTTTACCTTCGTGATCCCGTTCTACCTTCCCATCTAAGGCAGGAGATTTTCGAGCCTCTGCATGAGCATAATCATCCGCGACCGTGTAAACCTAAGTGGGTTGCAATAGCCAAGTTATCATGAAGTTAAGGTTAAAATTGCTTTGTATGACATAACGATGATCTTAACATTATATCTAAACCAACTAAATTCCAGAATTAGTGACTATCAAATACGAGCGGACTTTTAAATCCCTGCAATTTTTCACGATGGAGTTTAACATAAAAGCAGTCAAAGACTAAAACGCTGCCTACAACATATAAGGATATCCTTAGTCGACTGTATCCTAATTTTAGTGCCCAAAGAACCGTTCATAGCACAAATGATTAGGTCCGAAGAATAAGAGCTTTCTAATTTTCATCGGCTATGAGAGACCAGTAAAGTCAAATAACTGAAAAAAACTGTCGAACATATATACTCCAGAATTAAGAAATGGGACAGTAGCTTGTTTGAAATAAGAACTTAGAGTGAGGCTTCAAAGTAACTGGTAGATGATTTACAAGTAATCATAGTAACGATGTCGATAAACTGAAAATAAACTTTATGAACGTACACGGAAGAAACTCTTACATTAAGATAAATGATTAAAATAAAATCATGATTACACTTGGTGACTAAGAATAATAGTGAGAAAAAGAAAAAATAAATAAATCACTTTCTTCACTTGTACTACCAAGGCAACTGAAAGTTATCACATAACATCCTAGATACTAAAGTTTGGTTTTAACTCTCAGACTAGAACGGTGTCTGAAAATTCAAGGGACTCAAAACCATATCGTTTACAAAGAATCCTGAAAGTCCTTTTCAATTCTGCTTTTTTTACGAATCGCATCAAACAATGAGATCAGATAGAGTTGTCTTATAATCGTTTGAAAAATGTAATCCAAGGAACTCTTTCAGTAAACTATGCAGTTTTTTTTTCTTCATGATTTTAACGATTCTATTTTCGCACTTATGCTTAAAGAGAGATTTCACAAACAATGACTCAAAAATTATTAAACGAACATATTAAGGCTAAAGAATCTCTGGTTTGTTTTATTTCGATAAGCATATCCTCAGTGGGTCTAGTTACAAAAAATCCAGGAAACGTGATGTATTTTTTTATGTCTCATTAAAATCAGTCAGACAGTCATACACAACGTAAGACCTAAGACATATCAATCCAGACTGCCAAGCCCTATCAGTACAACGAAATTAAATTGCCACGGTAAATTCTAGAGTAGTAGAGGTTTTCATCAAATCGACTGATCTTATTAGCGTCTTGGAACATGATCGGAATACACAGACGTACACTCAGTTCATTACATCCTGTTACTTTTGTTATTTTTGTTGCTTAAATCTGCATACAGAACCAAATGGATAAGACTACCTACCAGCTCATTTGTTCCATAACAAGAACAATTAACCTCTAGCGTCAAAGCGTTAGTGCTCATTTAACAAAATAAGATCGGAAATATATTCACAGAAAATAACGTCATTAGATCATTCTAAGTAATATAAGATCTGATAACGCAATACAAACTGTCGAATCGCACTGTCATTTCAATCCACAATATACTGACAATTTATACGATATTATCATATTAGCTAGTCATATTCATCTAAATGTACACAAAAGTTTACAGTAGTTATTATCCAGTGTTTTCAAATTTACTCCCGAATAAAAATGTCAGAATATTGGTCATAGATCTAACTTCTACTAAAAGTATTATTGGAACGAAATTCTTATCTTTGTGATAAACTTTTTAGTTGCAGGTTAAACTATTATGTTAAAACCCCTTCCATAAAATTTCATGACATATGTTAAAAAAGGAAGCAGCGCAAAACAGTAGGACTTTACAATTCTTGAAGTGTTATTTATGCCAAAAATATAATGAAGTGCACCTGATGAAAACCTGTCATGGAGTCTAAACTATCTTCATTATACACACAAAATGGCGGTCTAGATACAAAATATCTCACATCATACACAAAAATCATCATACCTTAACATCGGTACCATCCGTTGGCATAAATTCCTCATACATATACGATCCATTTGTTCGAATATTGCTGTGTGGAAAGTACTTGCTGCTGCGATTTCCAACTTTTCGAAAGAGACGCTGACTGCCTCCTCCAGCGCTACTAGGGAAGTAGATGTAGATATTATGATCTTCAGCATGCAAAGGTTTTTCTACGAATGGTTTGTGAAAAACCTCACCATTAATCTGAAATAAAAAATGTATACTTTATCCAACAGATACCTCAAAAAAAAAACAGAAAAATGTAAGCTAGACACACTTATTAGTGTGATAATAAACTGGCAAAAATAAAATTAAGGACGACAGAAAATTGTTTGCACAAAAATAAGAACTCATAAAATCGCAAGAGTTCAAGTAGTGGAACTAGGTTATCACTTTATATTGTTTTAATCGTATCAGTTTACTCAACATTTTTATACAAATTACGTTTCTTAATGACCGAAGCAACTTGACAAGATCACTTAAGATTTCTAAAAGTCATAAAATTTCATGTTGCTGACAGCCCACATAAAATATTCGGTAACTATCAACTAAACATCTAACAAAGGAATAGACGAATAATCAAAAACACTTTAATCAACACTAAAATAAAAGATTTTTTACCATAGTAGACAGGATAAAAAATACTCTTAAAAGTGGACACAATTAATATATTTATGATATTTCTCAATATTTTACAAGCAAATTTACATTCATTTACTTTACACAAAGCTAAACTGATCAAAACATTTTGCCAAAATTTTGCATGAGACTACGCTTAACACGGTAAAATAATTGGTTTGGAAAAATTGTGACAGAAAACGGAAATAAAGGCAGTTTCATAACGTGTGCTTAGGTAAGCATTGATTTATCGTTGTTTACCCCACCATTCGAAGAAAAGCTAACAACATGAAATTTATCTTCAAAGTCAGTCAGTCAGTTACAACTTAGAACTTTGTACGTACGTACACCAATTCGAGTTGCCATACCACATTAGCACAGAGATGAAGTAGTCGATTCAAATCCCATAGTGGTAGAAGTAGTAAGAGTATAAGTATTATGTGAAAGATAAGGGTTTGAAGAAGTTATTGAAGGAGTATAATCCAGTGAAATAAGTTTGGGAAGAAAAGAAAGTAAGGAACATGAAGAATTCGGAAGATTAGAATTTGGTAGAACACAAAGAGTGTATGCACCTTCGCCATTGCAAACGATTTTGAGCCGTGTCTTTCAAGGTCTCTAACCATCGGTTGCCATCCCAACCAGGTAGTCTACACCTACCAACACGGCCCAGTCCACTTGTCAGCGACTTCATGGATTTATGCCATGTTTTGGTCTGACCGCCCCTAGCTTTCTTACAACCTACTCCTACACCATAAAACTTCTCACGTCGGGGCAGTCGGTGGTTTGGCATACGTAACACATGTCCCAGCCATCTCAACTGATGAAGTTTCACTATTTCATCAATCGATTTGTCATCCTTACCTAGTACCCGTTTCCTAACATCTGCATTACTTACCCGGTGGTCCCAGGATATACGAGCAATGCGTCGAATACACCTATGATCGAATACTAGTAGCCTACGAATATCCTTTACTCTTATCGGCCATGTTTCACTACCATAAAGTAGGACGGAACGAACTGCCGCATAGTAAACCCGTCCTTTTGTTGCTAGACGGATATCTCGCCTACGCCATAAATGACGCAAGTTGGCGAAAGCTAGACGAGCCTTCTGTATCCGTGCTGAGATTTCGTCACACACCAGACCATAAGGGCTGATGAGACTCCCAAGATAAGTGAAGCTGTCAACACGCTCAACTACTTCACTCCCTATCATTAGTTCAGGTGTCGATGCAACCCAATCATGAAGTAACATTTTGCACTTAGAGGGAGAGAATCACATCCCGAGTATGCCTGCATTGTTGCTTATAGTGGTCAGAAGACTCTGCATTTTGTCAGCGTCTTCACCAAATAAAACTATGTCGTCGGCGTATTCTAAGTCAACAAGTGAATCTCCCGGTAAACGTTCAACTCCAGGAAATTGAGATGATGAAAGTGATACCTTCAAAAGCATGTCAATGACAAAGTTAAACAAGAATGGGGAGAATGGACAGCCCTGACGAACACCGCTTGAGGTAATCAATTCTGATGACAGTTCGCCATAGGCTCTAACTCGACCAGTTGTGTTCGAGTAGAGAGCCTTTGTGAAGTTAATGTACTTCTTTGGTACTCCTTTCAGTGATAAAAAACACTGCCATAGAACCTCACGATCAACGGAGTCAAATGCCGCCTTAAGGTCAAGAAATACTACTATTGTGGGACGTCTGAATGTATGTCTATGTTCTAGGACCTGACGTAGAGTGAATATCTGGTCTATGCAACCACGTCCAGGTCGAAAACCAACCTGGTTTTCTCTAGTCTGCTCTTCACGAGCTTTGGTTAGGCGACCTAGTATTATTGAAGCTAATATTTTAGACACTATATTAGTCAAACTGATCCCTCTGTGATTGTCACAGGAGGACTTTTGTCCTTTCTTATAGACTGGCACAATCAGTGATTGGGACCAGTCAGATGGAATTACATCCAGTTCCCACATTCTACCTAAGACCGCAGTCAATCTCGTTGCTAGTACTGGACCGCCATCCTTAAAAATCTCACGAGTAAACCTGTCAGGTCCTGCGGCTCTCCCTCGCTTCAGATTTTCTATAGCTTTTTCAACCTCGCAGAGGGTTGGAGGACTTACCTCAATTTGCCATTCAGGACGACTGGGGATCGTGGGTAATTGAAGTGTGGCTGAAGGCCAGTTGAACTGATCCCTAAAGTGTTCTGCCCATCGATCCAATCTCCTGGATTGAGAATGAATAATATGCCCATCTTTATTTGAGATGGTTCCACTGATATTCGGGTTCCTAATACCGGTTTCTTTAACGAGTATGAATAGCTGTCTGCTGTTACCTATTGCCGATGCCTTTTCCATCTCTCTTGCTTTCGCTACCCACCACTGTTCACGATCATTACGTAGGCTTCTTATAAGCCTGCGCTTAAGTTGACTCCGCTCTTTGTTATGTCCAGAGCCAGGTGGGATGAGTTTTCGAGCATCTATCAGTGCGGTAGATGCTGCCGAGATCCATTGTTTCTCCCTGACCTTATGGCTTACCTTACTAGCGGATATCACTGCTGTTTCCACAGCTTTACGGATGTCATTCCACGCTGCTTCGGGGTGGGCACAACTTGCATATCTGTCTAACTGTTTTTCCAGTTGTTCCTGAAATATATTCTTAGCCTGCTTATCATTAAGTAGAACCCTTAGAGGCTTCCCTGCAATGTCTTTCCTACGTCCAGTAAGACGCAGACAGATACCTGTTCGCACTAGAGCATGATCTGAGTCTAAACATGTGCTCCAAAATTAGCGACAGTCTTCTATCGAGCCTCTCCATCGGTGGCTGATAGCGATGTGATCTAATTGAGTCCAACGTTGGGACGAATTCGGGGGTCACCATGTCAAAAGATGTTTTTCCTTATGCTTAAAGTTAGTATTTGCAAGAAATAGGCGGTTATCTGAGCACAGCTGCAACAGACGGTTGCCATTATCTGTTCTTTTCGACACGACACCATAAGATCCACCCAGGTGTCTTTCCCTTTCACTTAGTTTACCTACTTGAGCATTAAAGTCACCAGCCACTACTACTACATCAGAACGCCTAGCTTTTCGGAGAAGGTCAGAAAGTTTCCTGTGAAACTCATCTTTTATATCGTCTGAGCTGCAGTCAGTGGGAGAGTAGGCAGAGACGACCAAGAGGCAACGACGAGTTTCCCTATCTTTCCGAGTCCTTACTGATCCGTTTAGTCAGACAGCGCATAGACAACTGTCTACTGGGATCCAGTCTAAAAGAGCTAGTTCTACCCTACGACTTAATGCTATACCTACTCCAGCGAGGCTACGGGAAGCAGCATCAGGGCTTCCAGACACACGAAGTGTGAATCGATTTGGTTCTTTATTTTGATATGGTTAGATCAAGTGAATGACGCTACTTGGATCTTGTATGCGCGTTTCAGAGACGCAGCACACATCGATGGTGCGAGATTCTAGAATTCTAGCTAAGGAAGCCTGTTGTTCTATTTGGCACAATGTTCGGAAATTAAAAGTTCCTATATGTAGTTTAGAGCGTGATTTCAGGAGACCAGGAATAACGTTCCGTGTACTTGAATTGTTTGCCCTAGCGGTGTGAGGAGATAAAAGGACGTGGGAAGGGTTAGTCGTGGAGATAGGAGAGTTATTAGGAGGTGTAGGAAGGATTTGAAAGTGACCAACTTGGTCTCGTGTGCTGTTACAGGTATGAGGGCTAATATCACTTCCCGTGTGCCCACACTGTGGAAGGGTATTTCTTGAGGGACCTGAGAAAGAAGTCGGATTAGTGTTGGTCTTAACGACCCGCAGTGTCCAAGGGACCACTGCTTGAGGCCGGTCACGCACGGCCGTTTTGTGGGTGATTTTTGACGTGTTAGCTCCGTTCTTCAAAGGACCTTACCTCCGGAGACGGATATCCGTGGGATAAGGCGAGGTGTGCATTTTTAGGGTCGACCTTTTCTAGCCCCACCCCTCCTTGTGGGAAGACAGCATCGCTGTCATGCTGGTTGTCTGAAGAAAACACCTTACTGCCGTCACACCTCTGTACAGTCGGCAGTACGACTTCGCCTTCGGACCTTGGGATTGCTGCTTTTAGTCTTACCGCTCTTCAACCGACCTGTCTGGCATGGTAGGACCTCGAGGAACGATTGTTCCAGCCAGCATAGCTCGATTGCTTCATCACGATAGGCAAGCCCAACCACCACGACAAGGTAGCGGCAACGGTCGGGAAATCAAATCAAGTAGAACACAAAAGTTCATTAGGTCGCAAGATTTCTAGGCGCTTATTCATGATCAAACTGAATTAACATGAGCATAAGTCGCCAAAAATATCTACAATGTTTAGTCAAGGCAACGTAAACTGATATTTATATGATATTCCAATTATGCATGTTAGTAAGATGCGACGCTAGGTACACATCTCACGAGAAAATAGATGAAATATTTTAAAGATAATAAATATAACGTCGTATGACAATCTCACAGAACTTCATCTTACATAAAACATACATTTTATCATGCGAAACAGACCAACACTACCAGGACTTTTATTTAAGCGTTACCTTTCTGACCCCTATAAGTTATGAAAACCTGGCTGAATAGAACTATATGACAGGTTATTAGGTGTAAGCATGTAGCGAAACTACGATAATGGAATTGGTTGGCTACATCCAAATAATGTCCGTTCTGCTCACAAAAGCTACTCAGGTAAAGAAAAATTCCGTTTGTGAATATACAGATGACTGATCGAGATTTTGGTACCTTCACACACATTACATTAATATTCAAATAATGTTTATATTTTTATCTAAGCTGAAAAGTTCTATGGGTTTAAAAACCCTTCTCAGATATGCTAAGAAATGTAAAAAGACATCAATAGCCTGGAAACAACATGCTGACTATGCAAATACTCAACCCATCTTGATGATACATAACATGTAAAACAAAGTGGTAAGAGGGGAATCTTCAGTTTTAGGTGATGCTTATTGTCTTTGGGGCAGAAGTGACTCATTAAAAGCTATAGATAGGTTTAATAGCAATTGTCAGAAAGCTCCAAAATCCTATTTTTAGAACCCTGATAACCCCCTTTCGTTACACACAAAGATCTACTAAGCCATAACGAATAAAAAAGGCATGTTTGAACGCCAGACGAATTTCCCGTGAGACTATAATCGATGGAAAACCTTTGGACAACGCTAAGGTGATCTTAGAATGTCCACCTACTCACTAGGGTTTAATTAGGGTTATAGATTTGTGTGAGGAATTAGGAATAGTATTTACAGTTAAACGCTAGGGTTAGGAACTAGATTTAATGTTTTCATCAGGAATCGATATCAGCTATAATGCCAAAATGTTATTCAACCAAATGAGTCAATAAATCTCGTCCCAAAATTTAAGACATGCTATCTTAGTTATGATGAGTTCGTCCATAAATCATAATTTCGCCGGATTTCCCTGGGCTTACAATTGAAAGTGCTGAAGTTTCTATAAACGTCTAATCTCTTTACTAACTGCAAGTTTTATATTCCACAACAAATATTCATACCCATACAACAATATTAAGAGGTACTATTCAATACTGTTTACCTGAAAAGAAGACGTAGTGGAAATTAGTTAGCTAATAAAATCCACTTTTCATCATTGGGAAAAATGACTTACTTCAATTGAATCGTCAAGCTCAACAACTTTTACTGGGTTTTCCGATGTCCTATCAACAAATGCATATCTCGGAACTGGAACACCTTCTCTCGTCAAGCACTCATAAACCCTTCTTCTGTCCATTAAAATGTATTGGGACTCAAGATCATTGACAAGATATGGTTTCCGAAGCTTCGAATAAGCAATAGCTTTTTTGAGGGGAAATCCTTCGGAATAAAAACTGACCAGTGCATCACAGATGGGCCATGACTCTATTGGTGAATCTAATATCATTTTCTCGTCAAATATTATTATCCTAATGTGCTGAAACTTGTCCATTCTTCGCAAAATTTCCTTCATTGGTTTTGACATGGCTTTCTTTGCCATTGCACAAACTCCTATCGTGACAACTACATCACCGTCGTCTGCCCTCTCATTCATACTTTAGTCACATAACTTTATGTAGCGCCTTAAAAGTACATTTTAAGCACCTGAATGTGAAATTGACGTATCTAAACACACAAACATCAAAAAGGAAAAAACTTCACTTCACTTAAATAGAAATAATATGTGTATTCTACATAAAGTAAGGAATCACTATCACATGAAATTCTTTTTAAAATTATGTTAAATTATCTCTGAACTATGTAATATTATTAAGCCATAGAACATTATTTAGGGATATTGGAGAGAAGTGTCTTTAGTGGCAATACATATATTTGTACTTCCGCCTATATTCGTACATAAGCCAAAGGTCTAAGAGAAGAGGCAACATCTGAGTATTATGAACAAACAGTAGTACTACATCAAGGATGAAGAGTGACTATAGTAAAGCCTAGGAGGAATGATATACTTGATATGTTATTTACAATCAACATAGACTCTATCTCAGTGCACAGCAGTTATGAAATTTTATGAGTGATCATAGAGACGTACTGAACATTAATTATTCTCTAAACACTATACCATTGAACTCTAAAGCTGTAATAATGTATCAGAGCGAAAAGTTTGGCCAACATACCTGAAAGCTCACTGAAACTCTTATTAGATGTTTACTGCGGGAACCTTATTTTACCGTAAATAATATTGACGTTGAGCTTTCTGACTTACACCATAACCTGATATATTGCCTTGACTGCATTTGTCAAGTTGTTGGTCATGTGGCTTATAACACAAATAAGTGACAGAACACTTGAAACCTTCAAGGGACAACTGAGAAATCGAAACACCGCTATCCAAGCATCGTGAAGTGTATAAACATCAGAATATACTTAACTTGATGGACAGAAATGCTTCATCTAAACGCATGTATCTTATGAATATAGAAAATAAAGGCCTAGATAGTGAAAGCAAGGGTTGGGTGTGGGCTTAGTCGCCTAATTCCACAGATAACTAACTCGCTAAAACACGCTAACCAGAAAAATTATTCAAACCATTTAAACTCTGCACTTGAAGTTAGGAGGAAGAATTATGACGCCTTGTCATTGATGATGCAACGGATATTCTAGTTTTACAACTAGATACCAGTAGCACCTTCTAAATTCGGTTGTTTCCAGTCAGATAGAAAATCAGAAGTCAAACGAGAAGAGGCAGGAAAGATATATTTGATTCGTTACCAATATATCGAGGACCTTTTCTATGAGCTGGCTAATGAAACGTAGGAGCTGTGTCCCACGCAGTATTGAAACGTGATCTGGTGCGGATGCATGACCGAAAGCCTTCAGCTAAACAAGTCCACTTAAACAACGTGGTCAGCATCCAATGTCGAACACTTAATGAGCTATTGATTTTGGGGAATTATTTACAGCTACAGATCACTCCCCCCCTAGTGAGGTAGTGATGTCCCTAAGACGTGACCAGCCAGAAGTTTAAACCCAACGAATTTGTCGTTGGTAAACACTCTTCTGATAGCTTGCTTCGTTTAGCAGCGTCTGGTCGTCTTTCCTTAAACTATGGGACCAAAATGTACAACGTAGCAAATAAAGAAATATAGTACAATGAAAATTTCTGTTCCTTGCGAAACTTCGTCGTTCTTTTCCAGCCGTCCTGGAAAAGAGGAAAAATAAAACGTGTGAGTGCATGTCAAAAATACACTCGTACTTGCGTAAGGACACAAGATGAGCGGAAAAAAATAAACTGATACACTTACAAACAGCGTAAAAGCGATCGGAAAAAAGGTTTTCTTTTGAGTTTTTTTTTTTAATATATAAATATATATATATATACGTTCAAAAAAAAATGTTTTTTTTGTTGTTTTTTTTTACATAAATAAAAAATGAGCGTATTAAAAAAAAATTTATAATAAACGTTGAAAGGGTAATTCCAGATAAAGCTTATGTCCTACGTGCAATATTCGTTAAGATGTTCTGGAAATCTTACTCGTCTTCCAGAACGCGTTGTTTTAGGTTTTTCTATCGACGTTGACGAAGTATCAAGTTGTGTGTCGGTTGTCGTGTAGGGTACTACGAGTGTAGTAGCTGTGTCGTTTGCTTGTACCGAAGGAAAATCGACGTAGCTAGGGTTTCCTTCTAGGTACGCAGCTTTGAGTCGATCGATACTGATGCTATCTTTCGTACCGTTCTTGTCGACTACATAGTACTTAGGTTCGCGTTGAAGAACTTTGAAGGGTCCTTCGTATGCTGATTCGAGGGGTCGTCGATGTGAGTCTCGACGAACGAAGACGTGTGTACTATGTCGTAGTTCGGGTTGAACGAAAACATCAGTTGATTGAGGTCGAGTGTGAGCAGGTTTAACTGAACGCATAGCGTTTGTAAGCCTACTCGTGTAAGAGTTTAGATCCATGTTCAATGAAGAAGCTGAAGGATCCACGAATTCTCCTGGGAGTCGGAGTGTCGTTCCGTAAACGAGTTGAGATGCCGTGTATCCAATGTCAGCTTTCACTGCATTGCGGATACCTAGCAAGACGAGTGGAAGAGCGTCTGTCCACTGTGAAACGTTTGAAGCTGATAATGAGGCTTTTAGTTGTCGATGAAAACGTTCTACCAACCCGTTTGCTTGTGGGTGGTAGGCGGTCGTTCGGAAGCGCGTGATTCCTAAAAGTGTGGTCAGACAACGGAAAAGTCCAGATTCGAATTGGCGTCCGCGGTCTGTAGTGATGGTTGAAGGGCAGCCGAAATTTGCTACCCATCGTTCGACGAAAGTGCGAGCCACTGTTTCAGCAGTAATGTCCTTAATCGGTACTGCTTCTGGCCATCGAGTAAAACGGTCTACGCATGTTAGGAGATATGAGTATCCGTTCGAGTCGGGTAAGGGTCCTACCAAATCTAGATGGACGTGGTCGAAACGAGCGTCAGGGGTTTTGAAAGAACCTAAGGGACATTTGTTGTGTCTGATTACCTTAGATTTCTGACAGCTTACACAGGAGCGTGACCACTCCCTCACGTCTTTATTCATGCCAGGCCAACAAAAGCGTTCGGCTATAAGTTCGATTGTTGCACGAGCACCTGGATGAGAAAGATTGTGCAACGTATTGAAGACGTTGCGGCGATAGTGTTTTGGTACAATTGGACGATCCCTACCTGTAGATGTGTCACAGAGTAAGGTTTCCTTACCTGTTCCCATCTGCCTAATACTTAGTTTAAGAGTTGTCGAGGATAACTCATGCTGAAGATCAATGTCTTCTTTTTGAAGCTGAGCGAGTTTAAGAAGGTCGATTCCTTGGAAACTGTTCAAGGAGCTAATTCGAGACAAGGCGTCTGCGACTACATTGTTTGCTCCAGAAATATGTTGTATGTCTGAAGTAAACTGCGAAATGTAGTCGAGTTGTCGAGACTCTCGCGGTGAGTACTTGTCTGAAAATGAACCTAAAGAGAAGGTAAGAGGTTTGTGATCGGTAAAGAGCGTGAATTCTCTTCCTTCGATGGAATGTTGAAAATGCCGTACAGCACAATACATAGCTAGGAGTTCCCTACCGAACGTGCTGTACCTAGATTCAGCGTCTAGCAACCGTCTCGAGAAAAATCCTAAAGGTTGCCACGAGTTGTTAACCCATTGTTGTAAGACTGCTCCGATTGCTGAGTCGGATGCGTCTACGGCGATACTAATGGGCGCTTGACTGTCCTGATGAGCAAGCAAGGTTGCTTTAGCGATGTGTTCCTTAACTGTGGAAAATGCTTTACGGGCTGTGTCGTCTAAACTAATTGATTTCGCATTTCCACGAAGCTGATCGGTCAACGGTTTCATTAGGGATGCGCATTTAGGTATGAACCGTCTATAGAAACTTACGAGTCCGTTAAAAGTTCTCAACTGCTTGATCGTGGTCGGTTCTGGGTAATCCAGAATGGCCGCCACTTTGCTCCTAAGGGGTCCGATGCCTTGGGCATCAATGGTGTGTCCTAAGAAATCTAAGCAGTTAGTTCCGATTTGGCATTTCTGAATGTTGACAGTAATGCCATGCCTTTGAAGTCGATCGAAAACAATGTCCAGATGCTTGAGATGCGATTCTCTGTCCGGACTTGCTATTAGACAGTCATCAACATACGCATGTACGAAGTTGAGACCTCGGAAGACGTCGTCTATAAACCTTTGGAAGGTTTGAGCCGCGTTTCTTAAACCAAAAGGCATTCGTAGAAATTCGTAAAGACCGAAGGGAGTGATGATGGCGGTTTTAGGAATGTCGTCAGTTGCCATCGGGATTTGGTTATAAGCTTTAACCAAGTCGATTTTCGAAAAGACAGTTGTACCTTTCAAGGTAGCTGTCAAATCGTGAATATGAGGCAGCGGGTAACGATCGGGAATGGTTTTAGCATTCAGACGCCGATAATCACCAGTTGGCCGCCAATCATTGCTGTCCTTTTTAGGGACCATATGCAATGGGGATGCCCATGGACTATTCGATGGTCGAATTATTCCTAGGTCCATCATGTGGTTGAATTCGTTTTTAGCTAACCTAAGCTTTTCGGGAGCGAGTCTTCGGGCTTTCGAAAATACAGGTGGTCCTGTAGTCGAGATGTGATGTGTAACATTGCTGGTTACACAAGGTAATTTCGATTGCGATTGGTATATCCCAGGGTATTTGTCGAGTACTGCTTGGTACAAGGGGTCTATGGCGTGCTTAATCGTGACTGGGGATAACCTGCAACCAGAACAAGGAGTTACGCAAACGGACAACTTAGTGTTTCCGTCTATTAACCTTCGTGCGCGTGTGTCGATTAGTAGATTGTGGTGTTGTAACAGGTCAATACCAATGATTGGCATAGAGACATCTGCAACCACGAAAATCCAGTGTATGGGTTTACGTAAACCCACGTTAAGGTAGACGTACCTTTTACCGTAAGTAGCGATCGGTTTTCCGTTTGCCGCCTGTAAACTTAAAACAGACTCGCGAAGTCTGTCGTCGAGATTTGCTGGAAGAACGCTAACTTCTGCGCCAGTGTCGACGAGGTAGCGAACTTTCGTAGTCACATCCGTGACATATAAGAGGCGGCTGTGTTCGCCGGCTACGGTTGCCGTTAACGCGTGCCGGCTGGGAAGTTTCCCGAACTGTTTTTCGTGTCACTCGATTTTGGGGTCGGATAATTACAAGGTTTCCTGCAATTTCTGGAAAACTTACCGTACTGGTTATGATACCAGCACCAGTCGGGATTGTCTGTCTCTCGTGGTCGAGAGCCAGATCGCTTACGTGAGGCACTTCTACGCGGGGTTTTTGACCGACTACGGTCATTGCGAACTCTAAGATATCGTGTAAGCGTGTGACATAGTTCGGCCATGTCAGTCGAGGTCGATTGGGGTTTTTCTTTGACGGAAAATACCTCGGCCTTAGAAGATCTAGTGATTTCCAAGATTCGATCGGCAGATGCAGCTAGTTCATCTATGGCATTGTTTTGAAATGAAACAAGCACTGCCTGCACCTGTTGAGGGAGTTTAGACAAGAAAAGTTGTCTAAATAGGCCATCATCGAAAGTTCGTTGGCCGATGACTTCTTTCATTCTAAGCAACATGTCCGTCGCAGAACCATGTTGCAAGTCGATATTGTTAAGGAGTTGGTCTAACCGTTGTCGATCAGTTAGGTCTCCTCGTTTTAAAATCGATAGCTTAAGCGATTCGTAAGGTTCGGAAACATCACTAGTAAACATACTAGGTGTTACGTACCTGTTAAACTCGCGCGGTAACGCCTTAACTACCGCGAGGAAACGTGTGCGCGAGTCCGTGATTCCGTGCATGCAAAAATCGGCTTCTGCATAGCAGAACCAGGACTCGATATTGTCGGGCCAAAATGGCGTTAACTGAATCGAAATAGGGGGAATAGACTTTAACTTAAGAACCTTAGGAGAGTGTTCCGTCATAGTAATATAGATATCGAAAAATGTCTAAGTAAAATATATCCGAGAAAAAAAAAGGTATATCACAATATATAAAATTCAAATAAAGAATAACAATAAATAATAATATTCCAAAATGGAACAGACTCACAGTATATTGACTTGGTGTACCAGATCACGTCGGGTTCACCAATGATGATGCAACGGATATTCTAGTTTTACAACTAGATACCAGTAGCACCTTCTAAATTCGGTTGTTTCCAGTCAGATAGAAAATCAGAAGTCAAACGAGAAGAGGCAGGAAAGATATATTTGATTCGTTACCAATATATCGAGGACCTTTTCTATGAGCTGGCTAATGAAACGTAGGAGCTGTGTCCCACGCAGTATTGAAACGTGATCTGGTGCGGATGCATGACCGAAAGCCTTCAGCTAAACAAGTCCACTTAAACAACGTGGTCAGCATCCAATGTCGAACACTTAATGAGCTATTGATTTTGGGGAATTATTTACAGCTACATCATAAAAGCCTAGTTCCTTCAGAAGTCGCGATGCCAAAACCAATAATTTAGGTACATGGAATGCTCGTACAATGTGGGAGCCCGGGAGAGTCTTTCAAGTTGCTGCAGAAGCCAACTTTAACGGCCACGGCATCATAAACTCGCGCTCGCAATTCTTCGCGGTGGTTAAGGCACCACCGTGCAGATTCAACAGGTACGAAACACTTAGTATGTTTACTAGCGAAGTTTCAGAACCTAACGAAAGTCTAAAACGATCGATTCTAAAGCGCGGAGATCTAACCCACAGCCTTCCAAAACCAAACTAAAAGTAAGTCATACGATCAAAACTGAAGGCGCACCCGTGTTTGCTAGAACTAGGGGAGTAGCACCAGATTGACGTAAAATCACTAGAGCTGAGTTCGACTACATGCTACAGCTGGGTATTATCCGTCCCTCTGATAATCAATGGGCATTCCCTTTGCATACGGTCCAAAAAAAATGTAGGAGATTGGCTACAGATCCCTCAACCGTCAAACCGTACAAGATAGGTACCCAATACCGCATATCCAGGATTTCAAAGATGCTTTACGGGGTACGAAAATATTTATTAAAATTGACTTGGTCAGGCCATTTCACAATGTCTCAGTAGCTGAGAAAGCTATTACTGCACCTTTTAGATTGTTCGAGTTTGTACGCATCTCATTCGGTTTGAGAAAAGCGGAAATTCCTCATATATTCTTGTTTCATTTCCTCACCCTTTCTTCTCTCACAAGCTCTGATCACCATATGGAGGCCTCGTATCAAACCGCCAGCGATAGTTATAATAATAAATGCTACAAGATAACAGGCTAGTGAAATAAGAGACATACATGGAGTATCGCCAAATACTGACGGAGTTGGTCGACGTTGATTGAAAGCCAAACAATAAACGAGTTGGTAATCCTCCGTTGGGCTGCGAAAACAGGACGTAGGTGTTCTCGATGGATAGCTTGATCAAACCGACGTCTCTACGCATGTTGGTTCCGGGAGAAAGCTAATGTGACAGCTTAGGTTGATTAGTTAGGAGTTGACCTCAAACAACTAAGTACATGTTAAAACAATAGGGCTCAAGTACTCACTCACTTCCTTATTTTGTATTACATTTCCTATTATCTTATATTGAATAGCTTTATGTGTTTGAACTGATAACCTCCAGTGATTGTTCCACGATCATAATAAAGACCTACTCATTACTAGTCTGGTTTCTTCTATCAACAGAATGCTGGTTACCTTCAGGAACATAACATGTACAAAAAACCCTACACATACATATCCAGCTTTCACTTAGTTGGTGTTGATCTGTTCATCAATGCTGATGTTATAGTAAAATTAAGAACTGTATAGTACCCTTCACAACCCCATGTTTATATGCTAATGTAATGAATCGTGACGTAAGAAAAACATTTGTGCTGTGCCTTGGTGTGAATTGAATGAAGTTGTTGGTTGGCCAGGCTGACGCGGTCTAAACTGGATGCGTAGCATGTGTAAGCTGGCTCATGTATGAGCCTAGATCTATGATCAATAAGAAGGGTAAATTTGCCAATACTCCCAGAAGTCAAAGGGTTGGACCGGAAAAAGCGATAAAGTTGGCCTTCATTGGAATTTGAATCCTGAGCATAACTAATGGACGTGAGCCAGCACATTGTTGAATCCTCACTTCTGAATTGGAATCTTTTAGGCGTTTTCCTATACAGCTAACTTGTGAGCAGTGACCAGTGATTCGGAATCGTTTGATTTCCAAGGGTTTGGTCAGAATTAATGATGGAACCTCGAAATTTATAGCTCGATGAAAGAAAATGGTAGTGTTTTTCCTAACAGTTCTTGGCATCGTGTAAAAGGAAGGACACATTAAAGAGCAATGTAGCATCGGTTTGATTCTAGCAGAAGTCCTGCCAGGTACAGGTGAATGTCAGAGGAACGTGGGCTATGTGCAGCAATGGGGTGTTTGAAGGACCTTAAGGATGCCTAATTACACTTGGTCTTTCATAATCTAGTCAGATTGGAGACCGGTCCTTTACATTTTTAGTCATACCATCCTAGAAAAAATGTTAGGCAATGACCTCGCACAGAATATTTAACTCAAAAACTTCGTTTTTAATTCCAAACATGGATGGTTTATTTTCAAAGCTTGAATTTTAAAGTTATATATGTCAAAACGCATAGAATGATTTATTAAGAAGCAGCTCTGAGGAGTTTCATATTCGCAGCAGCTAGACTGTCGTACTAATTTAGTCGGAAGTTTGCATTGTTCAAAACACAACAGATTACTAAACTCAAATAATATTATGGGCAAACAATGTGAACGGAAATTTATCTGAAATAATGAAAATAACATACGCACAAAAAACTATGTACACTGGCACTTTTTACAGTTTTACACGATATTTCGATGTTGAAGTCCCTAGTAAGAATACTACGATCAATTAGACTGAAAAAATGGTCGTACTGCCGTTAGGACACTGAAACTCACGCTTCCAATTCCAAAGGATACGAACATATTGATGAACTGAATTTAGCAATGAGGTAAACATGAGAATAATCCACTGGCAATTCGGGCTTAACCACAGAACCACCCGTTTCCATTAAAAAATAAAAATACTCGTCTTATCTTAATTCTTTAGAACAAACTGCTACATGCTTTACTTATTTGGAGCAAATCTACTAAGGATTGCATTTTGGTTGACTTTAGTAGTTTAAAGCAATTAGTCCCTTTGATAAATTTCGATAATGTAATAAGACGAAGATTATCAGAACTATGTGATAGTAGATTTTACTGAACAAGAAATGGTTCCTGTAAAGTTCGTACAATGTTGAGCTATTTCTTACGACATAGTTTATTTTTAACGAATATGAATGAGCATTAAACCGAAGAAGCTCTTTTCTTAGTCCTCCTGAACTGTTATTATTATTGACTGTCATATACATGAAATGATTGTACGCATAAACACCATTAGTCACAATACAAATGGCGAGACTATGTATGATTTGTTTTGATCATTAATTGATGTGTAGCCAAAAATAAGGTCCCTCTATAGCCCTTCTGGGTTATAGTCAGAAAAATCATTCAGGCTCTGCCCTGAAAGCTCAAGGTCATTGATTTGGAAGAGTTATAAAGTCTCAAAGTGAAAGTTACAATTTCCCAGAAGTCCCTCCTAACAACAAATGAAACAATTATTATTGGTACATGGGATGCACGAACTATGTGGGAGATGAGAAGAGCAGTCCAACAGCTGCGGAAATGCGGTGATACAAAATGGCAGTTCTCAGGATAAATTTAACTCACTGGATCAAAGCTGAACAGAATAACTAGCCTCTGCACATATAATCAGTTGCACTAATTCTGTCCATAAAAGCATGACAAGCACCTACAGGATGGAATCTCTGAGATCCGGATCTTTGGAACGAAGAGAGGCTTACAGTGAATGTAAATCAGTGTTATATTTCCGACAATTATGGCAATGAAGACGACAAAAGTCATTTTTATGAGAGGCTACAGTCAATCGCAGAGAAGTGCCCAAGAAAAGACATGACCATCGTGGTGGGGTGATGAGCGCTACTCACAAAATCGCTGGTAAGTAGTATGAAGCGATACGTGACCCCGAAGCTGTCACAGTCGTAAGATGGGGAGAAATTCATTTCATCAAAGGCACGGTGCAGGCAGAACACTTGAAGATCAGATGGAAGAACAGTTCGGATTGAATAACACACCGCAAGATGCAAATGGATGATGGAAAGCTATGTATACGTGTTATGTAAACACTTTGTAATCTAACACAATATACATCCTTCTTCCCCATTTCTTTGTTCAACAATAACAGACCCAAACGCCAATGTCGGAATAAGCAACAACTGGTATGAAGATATCATGAGACGACATGGATTGACCGGAAGAAAAGAACGAGAATGGTGAAATATGGAAATTTATGTGGATTCAACAAAATGATCATAGGCGGCACAATATTCCCACACAGACGCATGAACGAAGCTACATGGGTCTCACCCAATCACACTACAGAAAATCAGATAGATCATATTTGCATCATTAAAAAGTTGAGAAGGACAATGGAAGACGTGAGAACCAGGGAAATCGAAACAACACACAGTCAACATTGAAGTCAGGATCTTCAATACAAAAGTCAGTTCTATTGTACGGGGCTGCAATTTGGAGAACTACTACAACTACCATCAAAAAAGTACAGGTATTCGTAAAAAAAACTATCTGCTCAAGATAATCCTGATTCGTTGACCGGATGCCATAGTCAGCAACCTACTGTGGAAAAGAACGAAACAACTTCCAACTGAAGAGAAAATTAGGAAAAGACGCCAGAGGTGGATATGAAATACATTGCGGAAACCATCAAACTGCATCATGAAACAAGCACTAGCTTGGAATCCTGAATGCTAATGGAAGAGAGGCAGACCAAAGAACATATTGCAACAGGATTGGAGGTAGACATTAAAATAAAGAGTTGGTTGGAGAATTCTGAGTGTCGGCCTACGCCCCTCCATAAGGGATAACAGTCGTAAGTAAGTAACCAAAAACAAACTTAAATTGATATGATGAGGCCATCTTTAAATAGTTTACTAGTGAACAATACAATATGCAGTAAAAAAGAGACTTTTAAAATGTCACTTAAATCCTTAGAATAAATAAAATCATATATAAATTTGTCTTTGCATTTAATCTGAATTGGCAGATAACGTAGATCTCTTTATTAACCACGTGAATATCTCCTTCATGACGACCAAAAGAAAAGCAAATAGCGACAGAAATGCGGCGATTAAAAGTGCCATTTGATATGAACCTCTAGTGTCATATATTTTGCCTGAAAAAAAATAAGATTTATGAAAATGCCAAAGATAAAATAAATTTAACAAAAACTCTTGAAAAATTTATGCTGATTAATGCAAATTTATTTATTTAATGGAGTCTCAAAGTGTTACCATTTTAACTGTTCGAGCATTTAGGTAAATTCACATTATTATGTGATTGGTGAAAATCAATCAACACCATAAATCATCAAAGTGATTTCTTTCTTAAACAGAATCTAACGTACCTTCTTGTAAATACTCACGTTGGTCATTTAAAGTATTCAATGAAAAAAACAAGTCATTATGAAAAATCTCATTATGTTTCCAACTGTAGTCGACATCTTTGAGGCTGCTGTTATTGTCGCAACCGCTTATCACAATATTTAAGTAATGATTATGTAAATACAAGTATAAACGGTATCACTTATTAACACAATACTTGTTGAAGAGATAAGCGAATATTCGTTAGAAAATGGAAGAAAGTAATGAGCTAAATGATCAGAATCACTCAAATTGCTAACATAAATAACAGGCAAGTGAAATGATCAAGATTACAATGAGTCCCAAATTCTCACTTGACTTCAACACTTATCGTTTATTAAAACTCGAATAGCATATTTTATTCACCCTTTTCAAAATAGTAAAGCGATAATAGACAATACAAAACGCTTCATTCAAGAAGTTATTCAGTCCAGTTTTCATTTTTCTAATTAATTATCTCTATGAGACATTCGAAGATAAGGTAGCGATTTTTATAAATACAAGTTGGTGGATTAAAGAAAATTTATAAGAAATCGGTTCGATCATACTACCTCTTACTCAAAGTAATTTCTACGGGACTAGTCTATTGACTTAACTGATGGACGATTTCTTGAAGTACTTAGATATTTTTTAAGCCAACAAACAAGTGACCCAGAAGTACAATTCAAATGATGTTTAGATATATTAGTCTTTCAAATGATGTTTTTAAATAAAAATCTGCATTCAGTTTCTTTCGACAGACTTTCCAGAATTCTTCATGTCCTGAAGAAATCATTAAATTTGTAACCAGAAGATAAATTGATTAGTTATTACCATATATGACTTCGGTGTCATTATGGATGAATCGAAAATTGTTTCTTAAAAATGAAATCATTTACATGTGAACATTGATAATTTTGCAAGCCCTGTAAACATTTCAAAAGCCTACTAAAAATCTAAAGTTATTGGTGAACAGTGTAAGTTAGAAGATATTTCGAATAGAGCTTACCTCCAATATTAGTTCCACACAAATTCATAAGACCGTTAAAAGTTAAAAATATGCCAAGTCCAGAAGACCATAATTCAGTACCAACAATATCAATGATTAACTGCGGAAACATGACGTACAATCCACCATTCGATATGCCGACAAAGAAGCAAGCCAACGCTAATAATTTTCCTTCTTGATGCGAGAATAATTCGAAGTGCTTTGATTCACTTTGAACAGACCATAATGGGACTAAAGCTAAAGTTAGTGTACATGCGCTATTTAAAAGAAGTGTTATCAGGAAGATTGCTAAATGAAATTGATACTTTGACAATTGACATTTTTTATTGATAGATTGAAAGCAATTTCGTTGACAACAAGTGCTACCATTTTCAACTTTGGAATCTTGATTGTTATTTTTAAAACAGGTACCGATGTCACCAAACTGAGAAGTTAGCAGACCATAAAACAACTGACCTTATAGAATGTTAAAGAAAATAAGTAGTAAAAGTAATCAAAGAGTTACTTAAAAATAGTAGACTGTAAGACGAACAACAAAAACGGATGCAGACAAATATCAAAAATTTAAAGTTTTCGTCAAAGAAAAAAGAAAGAGTTGTAAACGTACTACCAGTAAAAAGTGAAAGACCTTCCCTCATGAAATAGTTAGTAAAAACATAGTTACGAAAATTGATAAACGAGCACCAAATATTTATTCAACTGTCTGGTGCCGAATACAGTACAATGTAATGGGGAATTTTTCAAACTAGTATCCACATTTTCCAGTCAGTCACTAGGCCACAATCAGTAGTGAATAACATTTTACATGATGTTCATCATTGCTAGCATTTTTAGTCTAGACTGAAATCGGTTAGATCACCAAACCAACAGAATAAACATATGTTCTGATGTTTAACTGCTTCTTGTTTAATATCAACTGCACTAATATTTTGCTAAATACTGTTTAATCTCCTGATCTGTAGTTTTATGTTATGCTTTTCTGTTATGAAAAAATCAATAGGAATGCTCTTATACCGAAACTAGCAATTAATCAACTGGTCAATCGATTTTCTGAGAATAATATTCATAAGGATACTATGTTTGACATAAGTAACGAATGAGAGATAGGAGTTTTACAAATCACATGATTAGTTATTTTATATAATTCTAATTCATGCGCTACATGAGTCCCAAATTGATTTGATGACAGCAAATAGATCCAATGAAACAATATTTAACCGGTCGATCAAAATTCGGCAGTCTGATCTATATCACATACCTTGAGACTTCTGAAACTATAAGCCATATTTATATCTGGTTCAAAAACAAAGGTAGTCGATTTATTACCCGTTTTATACAATATCCATATCGTATGCTCAATAGTTGTTAGACGAATAAAATTAAGTTTGTGGTTCTTAATGAATAAATTGAAAATCGTTCGACAATGTCTGAGCTTGCACTTGACATCATGCAATGTTCAACTGAATCTTAGGGCATAAATATAATTGACATAAATGTTAAAAACAGGATGAACACTTTTCAGCTCCATTGTATTTATTTTGTAGAACCGACATTAATCATGTGCACTTTTTCTCGTATAATTTAGTTCGCTACCATAGAAGTAAAGAACTGTCATTTTATTTCCAAAAATCACGTCAATACTTGATAACCTGTCATTCATTTTATGAAAACTCTACTTAATTAGCTCGTGCAACAGTTCCTTAATTATAGTATAAAAAAACAGTTAATTGCTCACAACTGACCAAATAGCAAACCGAATCCAATTAAAGATGGAAGCCAAGAGATATCTTGATTGTTTATATCTCCAATTGAATTTTGATCATTCAAATAATACAGAGTGGTTAGAACATGATCGTAAACAAATGTCCATGGTATGACAACTCCAGCACCAGCTATACCATTAGCTATTACATAAAATAAAAAATTAGGATTTTTCCATAATTTTGGTGAAAATAACTTTTTAAAATTTGAAGTGAATTCTTGTAAAAATTGTGGGCATCCAAATGATAATGATCTATTTGAAAATCTCATTCCATTTATTCTTTCTTTACTGACGATATCATAATCACTATTTTCAGCATTGGTCTTTATAATATTTGAATGAGATGAAAGTAAAGGATACTTTCGAAACCGGAATAACGATGGAATACATAAACAAAATGGAATTATATTCCAAAAGTATTTAGTTATTGAACAATCTAAAAAGAAAATAGAGAATACAAATTGTTGAGAAATAAACTTCTTGATAATAAATTCATTTACTATTGTTTGTTTGAATCTTCCCATCGATGTGTTAGGACTGCAACTGGTCAGTCTCTAATTGGCATATGTGCATACTGTGCGTATTGCCTCGATATAGTCTTAATTCACAAGCATTGTAAGCAGAGATGGATAGTGGCTAGCAGTGGAATCTAGAACGTGTGTTTCGTCCTATCTGGGACTCGTCAGCTGGATGTACCTGCATCTCAGAGTTGATGTTCGCTCTGGGACTCGAACCCAGTACCCTCGCTTCAAACGCCATCGCACAAGCAAGTGGTTATCAGGACTCAGTGGCCGAGTGGATAACGCAATGGCGTTTGAAGCGAAAAGTACTAAGTTCGAGCCCCAGAGTGAACATCAACTCTGGGATGCAGGTACGTCCAGCTGACGAGTCCCAAATAGGACGAAACACGCGTCTTGGATTCCACTGCTAACCATTATCCATCTCTGCTTACCATTCTTGATAATAGTTTGAAGGCGAAATTCACTGTACGTTTATCATTTATGGAACGCTTCTGACGTATTTAAACAATGTTTTCATTTTTATAAATAAATATCAAAAAAGACGCATCTGAGATCGTTTTCAAAACTGTTAAATACACTTTCATCTCACATCAAATTCACGAATGAGAATGAAAATGAACATGAAGAGCTACCATTCTTAGATTGCTTAGTGAAAAGAAATATAAATGGAGTTCTAAATTTATCCATCTACCGAAAGCTCACACACTCCAATCGTTACATCGACTTCCATTCAGCAAATCCTTTCAGTGCTAAAATTTCGTTAGCCTTAAATCTTGTTAGAAGAGCCAACAAGATCATCTCTTCAGAAGAGGACAAACAAAAAGAACAAAAGAATATAATTAGCATCTTACAATTTAATAATTTTCCTATGAAGATTATTAGAAGTATATTAAAACAAGACAATTCAGTACACAATAATAATAATAAGAAGAATGAAATGCCATGGATTGGTACTGCAGTCTTACCATACCGTCATGGCACAACTGAAGAACTCCAACGGATATTAAGACAACACAGAATTAAAGTATATTACAAAACAACTAACACACTTCGAAATACTTTAGTTCGATTAAAAGAAAAAATACCATTCATTTCTACACAGAACTGCGTCTACAAATCAGGTTGTGTCGATTGTGATGCCTTCTATATTGGAGAGTCATTTCGCGAAATCTTAACTCGCGCTAAAGAACATATCAGGTACACAAAGAAACCGCCAATAATCCTGTAGAATTAGATAGACTTCAGATTAAATCGGCAATAGCAGTTCACGCCATTTTCAACAGTCATCAAATTGATTTCAAAAATATCAAAATACTACAGAAAGGGTTTTCTAACTACAAAGAAAGAAGAGTAGCTGAAGCTTTCCATATAATGCTTAATCCCACAGCTCTCAATAGAAAGGAAGGCCTTACCATACAGTCTACTTGGACCATCTATCCTAGTCACTCAGTCTGATATTATTTACAATTTCACACCATTACATTACAAATCAAACTCTATCCTTTGTAATTATAAAGGTCACACAGTTTTCATTATCAACAGTGCATACATACACACAAAATTACATCCATGTCGCTTATGAATCACCTTGACCGAAATGAAATGACGTGACAGTGATTTATTCAGACCTGTTTTTGATTGATCACCTAATATTCTTTGATTGTTCCGTTGTACTATTTAAACTTGGATTAATATTAATCTGGTTATTCATTCTCTGAAGAAGTGGCTTACACTGAGTCACGAAACGTCAGAAAATCTAATTTTTCTACTCATAGGGATATTACAAATATATAATTTGTTTATAACAATCTACCCAATGCTCAATTTATTCAAAATTATCAAATCAAGTCTTGGTAATGATACCTACAATGTTTTCATTTGTTTATAAATAGAAATAGATAGTCAAAAACCCGATAAAACCTGACAAAATCGCACAATATTCTAGACTGCTATATTTCTATTCACTGTATGTGAAAATATTTATCAAAAATAAGATGGAAAATGTTGTCGAAAACGTTACGATAAAGACAAATCGAAGTACAGATGAAAAATAAAAAGTATGGAATAACATGGTATTTATAAATAAGACAAATATGCATTTATTCCACTGTAATGAATTGAAACCATAGTCTCTAAACATTGACATTGGGGATCTCGTTGACTCTTGATTAACCGAAAACTTAGTATTACCTTATACTTATTTAATAGTGTGCAACACGTTGAAGTATCTAAGGACTCAGAATTATTAACACATATTGAAACACCACTATCAATATATGTTCACAACCGTCATAGCTGGCTTATTTTTTCTATCTAATAAAATGCACTGAATTTTGACCTTGTTCACTCAATGTTAGTACTAAAAGTAAGTGATACATGAAAACGAAAACTACAATTGCTAATGACATTTTCAAAAGTGTTATTTTTATCAGTCGTATTTTACAATTCTTGAGTAAAACACAGTGAAGGTTTAAGCATTTGACATCATTAGTAGAGTCAGGTCAATCAAATAAATATAAGATAATAATGATATGAAAATGTTTATCAACTATCTTTTAAACAGAAATGTTACCGTTTACGTACAGTTTATCGATATCATATTTTGCAGCATAATAATTTTAATAGATAAAGACTAATTTTCAACGCATATGTGCGTGCTTTTTGTGAATTTCTTGTCTATAACTATACATTACACCATAAACATAACTGGTACTGAGTCAATGTCCTCGTAAATAGACTATAAACATAGACGTTCTCATAACACTCGAGTATATAGAGAAAATCTGGAAAAACCGTAGAGATGGGGGTATTGTATAAAATCATTTCAATACAGTTTGCTTATAATTTATACTTAATGAATAAACTACTTTTCGTTATCCCTGTTATTAGAAAAATGAGGAAGGATTGATTCGATGAATTGTTGATGACGGTTAGAGTTTAAAGATCAATTCTTCGTATTTGAAACAAATCAGGCGTCTTCATACAGGTGAATGGAACATCTAGAAAGTTAAAAAACTATTATTCCTAACCGTTTTGAAGAGGTAGTGCAGTTTACCTGATTCCGATTACTAACTAAGCATTTTAAATATGAATCAAAATTTCAACTTCGAATAAATTCCAACAGCTTTCGACATTTACCAGAAAATGATTATACCCCTCATCTTGTAAAACCATCAACAATTTTGTTCCCAATCCGTATACAGTTTACAAAAAGAAGAGTGTCAGAACGATTAGATAATTAAAGATTCTGAAATTGACATTTTATATTCTATTGGCTTTAGCCAGCAACAGTTATCTCGAAATCTGATAAAAATAATGCTAAAACAAGTACATGTATTTGAAAAAACATTATTCTCATAAATCACAGGTGACTTCAAAATAATTCATTATATGTAAATTAAACGATCAGTCACAATTTAATTGTGAAGGTATGTTGACGGGGATGTTTAAGTTAAAATAAAATAGTAATTTTAAAACACTTTATTTTTGATGTAGGTTTGTTCTCTGAGCTGGATGGTTTGGTCGTGGAGCTTTCATCGTCTTTCTGAACGACATCATCAACACTTCACTTCTACCCGAAGTTTGTGCTGATGATGTTGTTCAAAAGGACGATGAAAGCTCCACGACCAAACCAGCCAGCTCAGAGAACAAACCTACATCAAAACCACCCACTTGAGCTACAAATCTTCTCCACCATCTCAAACACTTCATTTCTCAATACTTTTCATTTTTAACACTCTTCGGCAAAACTAATTGACAATAATATAATCAAACGTTTACGAAAATGTGAAATTATTTAGGAGACAAGATGAACATACCACTGGGAAGATCTGCTTCAGAAGGATACTTGTTCTGATGATTTATATCTTCTATCTTGAAAATAGAAATTATGTCTCAATAAAGTATTTCAAAAATCGTAAATAGTTTGAAATTTTCACATCATTACAGAAAAATTAAACTATATAACTCATAGTTGTCTGCCAAAATATTTATAAAAAGTCTGAAGTTACTGAACTGGAAGGATCGATAACTGCTACGGCTCAAACATAAGAGAATGACCTAAGACCAAATTTTAATTACATTTCACTTACAACCTAGTAAGAACTTTGAAAATCGTAGGTTTTACTAAACTTATTTTAGAATACATTTTTATGATCACGCATAATCTTTTATGTAAACTATTTTTGAAGAAAAATAAATTTAGTCTTTTTCGTAGAAATCGGTACTAATCAATCGTGATTATTATTATCATTACTGTGAAATTGATTATTCAGGTAAACTTAGCTGATAAATTTACTGATAGTATAGAAATAGCATAATACTTTATTTAGAGATCATTGATAGAAGAAAACTGAACAGCAACACAGTCACATAGATTGACATTGAGAAAAATGAAAATGATTTACTACTTGACAGCCGTAATAATCAAATAATTCAACCATGTCATCTGACACATAACTGAAGAGGGAATACAAAAAATCTTTTTGTAGTTGTAAATGTAATAATAGTTATACACTAATTGTGTGATAATCGATTGCTTTCGATTAGCATTGAGAAAATACTCACAATTTGAGATAATATGCACAATAAATTGTTTAAATCCTAAGTTTAAAAAAATAGTTGGACATCACTTTTTATCATAAAATGGAATAATGTGAAAAGATACATCAATTCAAGGAGCGTTGAATAGCTAGACTGTTCTAATTTATAACTTCTTTCATCATTGAAATACAAGATTTCGAGTTTCGTACACAGTTCTTCAAAATTGAAACTCTAACTTTTGTTCATATCAGTTAATTAATGTAAGGTACAGTGCATTTATATGTGATCTCTTCCAAAATAGGAAACATTCACTAATAATGCGGCAATGACAGTTAACCCAGAGTGAAATGCATAAACGAACGAAATTTTACATTCGCAATGGATAGAAATATAGAACAAGTTATACTGTCATAGATAATAACTTGTATGTACTGAATAAATTAATTGTCTAAGGATATTGAATGCTCTCAGTTGATACACTACTTTTTTATTTCCATTCTGTCTATTTAATAATTTTGAAGAAACGATATATAAAGTTGTCCGATCAAAAGTCACAATTCAAACTATCAGATTTTGATAGATATATCACTTAATTATTTAAACAATTCTGTCTACTCAAAATAAAATTCCTTTTTGCACCGACTAAGATATATATTGTTCTTAAATCCATGAAGTAAATTAGCTGTTATATCCCTTTACGTTCAATCATTCTGTAAGATGTCATATGATGAAAAACAATTTTGATATCACGGTGAATAAACGAACAATATTAATCTCTTTATTCACATTTGTATTCTGTTATAACGTAAGTATGCCGTCGCTAATTGTTATAAACGTAAAGGAGAGGATGCTGGTTATAACAGTAGGGGCTCTTGTTATAACAGTCCTTTCACTTCTTACACGTATGTGGGACGTTAATTTATCTTAGACAAATATCTACACTAGATTCCCACCCAGTGTCTATTCTACAGGACTTCAACAGAACTCAGATCAAGAACAGGAGATTAGCCTGACTATAACGTCAATATATTTCCACACGAAAATCCGACACAAGGAACAGTCAATCAATAAGTGTCCATCAACAAGAAACAGTCAATACATAATAAGGACAGGGGAATATATATATAACACATAACACCTGTCATCCTGTCTAATGTCTGAATCATCGAGACAACCAATCATTATCATTCTCGCCCACACATCATATTCAAATAACTTTAACGACCGAAGGTAATAGTTTCGAGAATAGATATACCCTAATAAACTTGAAAATACAAAAGAAGCCCATTGATTTATTAAAAAGAATGAAAACGTTTCAGAGAAGAAAAATTTACTTTCGACGGTATCATTTTCTTATGCTGCAAAAGGTATTTATAGGTAATGTGAAAAAAACCTATAAATACAATTGTACAGCTTTAAAAAACATCCGCCTGTAGCTCCTCTGGGGGTTATTGCCGGTCCCAAGCCCGGGTAAAGGAGGAGGGTTGGGCATGGGGTTAGCCACCCCATCCCGTAGAAAATCAACTCGCTAAAAAAACGCTAACCAGAAAAAATCATTCAAACCTTTCAAACTCTGCCCTGGGAGTAGAAGGAATAATTATGACGTCTCATGATGAAAGCCGAGTTCCTTCGGAGATCATGAGGCCAATGCACCTTCTTACAACCAGAGCGACAATTTTAATAGGTACATGGAATGTCCGGACAATGTGGGAGACCGGAAGAGTCTTCCAAATTGCTGCAGAAATGAGAAAATACAACCAGGAGGTGCTTGGAATCAGTGAAACGCATTGTACGCAGGTTGGACAACAGCGACTGTCTTCAGGAGAACTTCTGTTATACTCCGGTCATGAAGAAGAAAATGCCCCACATACACAAGGAGTTGCATTGATGCTGTCCAGAAAAGCACAAAATGCACTTATTGGATAGGGAATCTCATGGACCAAGGATCATCAAAGCCTCCTCAAAAACAAAGAGAGAGGGCATTACAATGAACGTCATCCAATGCTATGCACCTACCAACGACTACGATGAAGGCACTAAAGACCAATTCTACGATAGGCTGCAGTCTTTCTTCGAGAAGTGCCCAACCAAGGACCTGACCATTCTGATGGGAGATTTCAATGCCAAGGTTACAATGGACAACACTGGATACGAAGACGTCATGGGACAACATGGACTGGGAGAAAGGAACGAAAATGGTGAGAGATTTGCAAACCTATGTGCCTTCAATAAACTGGTCATAGGTGGCGCCATATTTCCACATAAAAACATACACAAAGCCACTTGGATTTCACCGGATCACACTACACATAATCAAATCGACCATATCTGCATCAACAAAAAGTTCAGGAGGACGATGGAGGATGTGAGAACCAGAAGAGGAGCTGATATAGCATCCGATCATCATTTGCTGGTCGCCAAGATGAAACTAAAACTCAAGAAGCACTGGACAACGGTGCGGACAACATCACAAAAGTTTAATACGGCATTTCATCGAGATGCTGACAAACTCAACAAATTCAACATAGCCCTCAGCAACAGGTTCGAGGCCTTTCATGACCTACTCAATGGAGAGGGGACTACCATGGAAAGCAACTGGAAAGGTGTCAAGGAGGCAGTCGTTTCAACATGTCAAGAGGTTCTGGGCCAAAAGAAGCACCATCACAAGGAATGGATCAATGTTGGTACACTGGATAAAATTGAAGGAAGGAGGAACAAGAAGGCAGCAATCAATATCAGCCGAACCAGAGCGGAAAAAGCCAAGGCACAAGCCGAATACACAGAGGCAAACAAGCAAGTGAAGAGGAGCATCAGAACCGACAAACGTAAATATGTGGAAGATTTAGCGATGACAGCGGAAAAGGCTGCAAGAGAGGGAAACATGAGACAATTGTATGATACAACAAAGAAACCTGCTGGAAATTACCGTAAGCCAGAAAGACCAGTGAAAAGCAAGGAAGGCAAAGTAATCACCGACATTGAAGAACAACGAAACAGGTGGGTAGAACACGTCAAAGAACTCTTAAATCGATCTGCTCCACTGAACCCACCCAACATTGAAGCAGCACCCACAGACCTCTCAAACGATGTTGCCCCACCAACAATTGAAGAGATCAGCATTACCATTAGACAAATCAAGAGCGGCAAGGCAGCGGGACCAGACAACATCCCGACAGAGGCACTGAAGGCAAATGTAGCAGCAACTGTCAAGATACTCCACATCCACTTCAGTAGGATTTGGGACGAAGAACAAGTACCAACAGACTGGAAAAAGGGACTTATGATCAAAATACCAAAGAAAGGTTATCTCAACTACAACTACAGGGGCTTACTCTTACTTACTCTTACTCTTTCTCCTGGTGATCGACTGGATCATGAAGACGTCAACATCTGGAGGAATGCACGGGATACAGTGGACAGGTAGGATGCAGCTTGACGATTTAGACTTCGTGGATGATCTGGCTCTTCTATCACAAACGCAACAACAAATGCAGGAGAAAACGACCAGTGTAGCAGCAGCCTCAGCAACAGTAGGTCTCAATATAAACAAAGAGAAAAGCAAGACTCTCCAATACAATACAATATGCACCAATCAAATTACACTTGACGGAGAAGCTTTGGAGGATGTGGAATCCTTCACATAACTGGGCAGCATCATTGATGAACACGGTGGATCAGATGCAGATGTGAGGGCGCCGATCGGCAAAGCAAGAGCAGCATACTTACAACTGAAAAACATCTGGAGCTCAAAACAATTGTCAACCAACACCAAGGTTAGAATTTTCAATACAAATGTCAAGACAGTTCTTCTGTATGGTGCGCAGACGCGGAGAACTACAAAAGCCATTATCCAGAAGATACAAGTGTTTATTAACAGCTGTCTACGCAAGATACCTCGGATCCGATGGCCAGACACTATCAGTAGCAAGTTACTGTGGGAGACAACAAACCAGATTCCATCCAGTGGAGGAAGAAATGAGGAGGAGCGCTAGAAGTGGATTGGGCACACTTTGAGGAAATCACCTAATTGTGTCACAAGACAAGCCCTCACATGGAATCCTGAAGGTCAAAGGAGAAGAGGAAGACCAAAGAACACATTACGCCGATAAATGGAGACAGACATGAGAAGAATGAACAAGAACTGGATAGAACTAGAAAAGAAGGCCCAGGACAGAGTGTGTTGGAGAATGTTGGTCGGCGGCCTATGCTGCATTGGGAGTAACAGGCGAAAGTAAGTAAGTAACAGCTTTAAAAAATGATGTCGTCGAAAAGAAATTTTTTTCCGCTGAAATGTCTTCACTCTCTCTAATGAAGCCTCGAAAATCCAGAGTTCACTAATTCTATGTTTGAAGAGATTAAGAGACCGCCTGAAATCGGCAAGCGGAACGAATGATCGGCGACACAACGACAGACAAGCTAAACTATTCACATGCGTCCCAACCCAGCTAACTAGAGGGCGAAGACCAGGTTCATCAAAAAGCAAGAACAAACAGGCATAAAACTCAAGAGCAAATATACAGTATAAAGATGTAATTGGGGAACGTCGCAAAAGAGCGTATTAAAACAGCAACGAACCAATGATACATAAGGTCCTGCCAAGTGTAAAATACAATCTGAAGGTGAGAATGGGCGCTTCTGGCGCGGAAACGGGAAATTCGAATTTCCAAGACGAAATTACAATAATAAGTGGGTCACCAAGTGACTTCTGAGTATCTGGAATCCCCGGCAACTGTCAAGTCACTGAACCGTAACTAATGTCATTCCATTAGGTTTGGAGTGATATGACAGAAATCTCCGACTTAAATAAGTAGTGTAATTTCTTTAACCAACATGGCTCGATATCAAACCACACTACGGTTACTGTTAAGCAGTTGGGAGCAGTCACTAGTACTTGTTAGACTTCGATTATAATTAGAGCACCTCACAAATAGTAAACGAATATATTCTTTCCGATGTTTGGACCATCGTGACCTATTACAATTTTTTTTCTTGAGCGAAGATACTGTTTCCAAAAGTTTCACTAAAATGGTATTATGGGTATCACACTAGAATTCACAAAGCTATTAACCGTAACTTAGTATTCGATTTTGCTTAGTTGAGTAGTGGCAATAACACACTATTATGTCTCCAAGTGGAATATGTTAGTAATCATTATTCATTCCAAATGCTTGGCGGAATCGATAAGTAGACTTACTTACTTATCATATGAAAATTACAAGTCTAGTCTAATTTCTCTTCTCGTTGACATTTACTGTTATGTTAATGAAGGTACTTACAGATGGTGACAACATTCCTAATATCTTGCATTGCTCAATAAATAATATTGACCGTACAAAATCATACAAAGTTTGTTTGAAGCTCTGAATAATTTCAAATATCATTGTATTTTACATAGTTTTTTAAAATGGAATATTTGTTCGCTGAGTTGAATAAACTAAAAATGCAGCTTAGCAAAATTTGACACAATGTCCGTTTGACTATAATACACAAAACTGTCTGATTAATATGCAACCTAGTTGCATCTTGAAAGGTATTTCACAGAAACTAGCTTTTTTGCCTATTTTATAACCCAGTTGTCACGACAATTCGCTGTTACATAATATAATATCAATTTAACAAAATGTAAATTCACTGATGGTTAGAAGTTTCTTTACAGATAAGTAGAATATTCTCTTAACAAAAAAGGGATTACTTACATTCTCGTTTACTACAAATAGCCGTAAAACAAGCAGTCTACAATCAGAAACCTTTTAAAATCTATCAGAAAATCTCCGTTGGAACTCAAGATCGTAGTAAACGAACAGAGCCGGAAATATTCGAAAATAATGTGATTTCTTGGCAATTTGGTTAGTAGATAGTTTCAGGATTACAAAAATATCCCTACAATAGAAAATGACAAACCGGTCCAGAGTTCAGATAACTTCATAATTATTAGTTCTCTATAGTGTAGATGGCAGCCTCGTAGCGATTCTTTGTTCATACTTGTCAGCAGACCTAAGATTTAGTAACTTGCTGTTTAGATGTGTCTCGTTACAACTCAGTGCGCTTAATAGTACTTTTAAAGCGATGACGGAGAATGATTTGAAACTGTTATCACAGTTCGAATGATTAGCACACAAAGTATATTCATTTTAACTGGATTGAAAGAGTCGTTTCTGCATACCCACAGGAAATGGCAAATATTATTGATTTACATAACAAAAATTTCCAACACTACGAAATTAACTTAATGAAAGCATGTACATAGCTTCAAATTCTATACGACAGTGAGGAAACTCTATGATTACCTTATCTTCATAAAATTTAACTGATGTTAATATATTCAAGCAGATATATGGTAATTTACTTTCGTTCTTTCAGAACTTTATACTAGATGTCCAACCGAAAGGACATGAATTAGTTTTTCTAACCCAATAAACAAGCTTATTGTTGTGACTGTGATTCCTATATTTGGGTATCCATGGTTGTTTGTCATAAACTCATACATAAAGCCTGAGAATATATAAAGTGTAATTTTTTCTAATAATATTCCAATTATAATGGATGGATTCTGTTAAACATTATTTAATCACGGGAACAGTTATGGTTATCCTTTCAAAATATACTACATAGCTCCTTTGATAAAAACTAATGGATGGAAATAAAATCCGAAATATGTTTAGAAATTACAGCCCTGTTCGTGATCAATTGTTTCTCCGTTGTAGCGTAGTATATTGCGACGGATAATTAATGCTTCAGGTAGGTACGTAAAAAATATTATTTTCCTATAAGCTCATCTGAAACAGTCATTGCAAAGTTACTGCATAACTTCTCATAATATGTCGATTGCCAACTCAGTGCTTTAAATAGCTACAAAACGAAATTTAGAGAGATCCCAAGAAAGTTTCAATTTGGGAGCATAAACACACTCTAACTTTGATAATTTGAACAATAAAATTCTGTGAAATTACATTTTACTGAAACAATGATAGCTTTTACGATAACTTACATTGTTAGGACAACTCACCTCATGTTTTACCAATGTTTTTGCATTTAGTTCTGCATCTAAATGATGAGAACACGATGCTGTAACCAAAATGTTCAAAAGTATGGCGGATTCGATCAATAATACCTCACGCCAAGTCCAAATACTTAGGAGCCAAGCAAGAAGGTAATTCGATGCAAATGCACCAACACCCGAACCACACATGGTGAGTCCTATGGCTAATCCGAAACTAAATGGTAAAAAGTTTTGGAAAATAATATATAGTTTTGCCGTGGATAACCGCAGAAGCTGAAATAAAATGTGCTTTGCAAGGAAAAGTCAGTAGTAAACGTCTATATCCATAAAAATAAAATTATTTGTTGACAAATAACTCTATTGGAAAGAACTTAAGTATCTGTTCAGGAAACTATTATCCCGATAGCTGTAGCTTTTCTCATGGATTTTAGTTCAAGTTAATAATTATCTTACTCTAAGAAAATGGTCATTTACTACGCCAGGTTATGTTTGTTCATTAAACTTGCTAATACTGACATTGAATCTAAACTATACATCAAAAAAGTGGACAAAACAGTATTCACATCTAAGATACCTGGTTTCGGATTACGTCATAAATCTCTTAGTGGAATTAAGATGCAAATTCATAATGAATTTTTATTTATCTGTCAACAAAGGTTTTAGGATAATACAATAGCTGATGATTCTTCAATTGACTTCCAGGTGAATATAATTAAAAGCAGTTAAACATTCTCTAAACGTTTGTATTGAAATCTTAGTAAGTATTAATGTAACACAAAAAGACGGCAGGTATTAATATGTATTGAAGAACCTCGAAATGAATATCAATATGAGTGAGATGTATACAGATTTCAAACTTGAGAATATAATGAAGAATAAAAAAGACTAAACAAATCCATCTGACTTCAAGTTACGCTTAAAATTTTATTTAAGTACAGTAATACGAAAGGATATAAAATAGGACAAAATCGTAAAAATTAAACCACGTAAGAGTCGGTTTATCACTAAAAGTGAATTCAAAGTTCAGAAAATTGCTCAACTTCATTTATTTTTTAAATTGGTGAAATCGATTAGTTTCACTTCGTAGAGGTATTTGGCTTCCATTTATTATGTATTCATTTCTCAACCTTAACAAGATTTACTAAGGCAAAAATAATAATTGGGATAGTAATACATTGTACGTGAATTACGATATCGATATTTCATTTTCAGAATCCGGTTTCTATCTGTTTCTCTGTTCTTCTCATAAACTACCTATATATGTAATCCAGAGATAATTAATTGCAAGAACGGTTACCGCCATTTTTCGTATTCTTTAGATTTTGGAGATCTAACTCTATCAATCTCATATTTAATCAAAACGTTTCCTTGAACAATGGCAAGAAGTATGTATACCTGTTTTAATAATTAGTAGTGTTGTTTTGAAATTGTAAGAAACTGCAAATAGTCTACATAGTAAATAAATCAATAATATTCTATTGTTGTTGTTCTTCCGTTACAAACATTCGTATTTTAGCTAAACTGATATGCACTCTCTTTTTTGTTACTTTGCAATAATAAATAACAATTTAATTTGTCGATTTGTAGTTGAATAAAATCTGATTTACACTTTTGGGGTTTTTTGATGAAAAGCTAGATAATTATTCAAGCGCTTGGTGAATTTAACTTTGAACATAGGATAGTACAGTTAGTTAAGTATGGGAAAGAAACACCAATAGGATAAGTATGCTTATAAGGATTTCTCAGAATTATCCTCGGTATTCCTTTCAATACATACACGTATTTTGCTTTTCGGAAAAAGAAAGAAAAAGATTACATGGAACGCCTATGTTTTCAATCAGTGTATTCTTCTACTTAAGAGTGAATGTTTCGTAGAATTTGTATTGTTTTTATAGACTTATTTGTCATGGATAAAAGTAGTTCAAAAACTATTAAAATCTAATGATTACCTAACAGCTCTTTAATCATGACTTGGGATTCATCAGCTGTGAGGACTTATGATCGGACAAAAAAATCAATCTGAACTAGAAACCATTCAGTAACTGAAATGAAACATTCAGAACAAGTTGGAACACTGATAAAGTGCCGGCTGGTTTGTTTTTAGCTTATGTTGGTCTATAGCAAAAATAGACTTTTATGAGTCATAAATAATATATTATCTGAGAAAAATGGATGTCGCTTGAAGTCACCACACTTTACATCAGAACAGAGGTAAGAAGTGGATCAAATGAAAAGGTGATCAAACAGTGACAATAGGAAAGAACGCTGTCTTTAAATATTGCATTTACTCTGCTTCTACATGAGTGGAGTGAGTTTGGACATTTGCTTAATCTTCGTTAAAACCTGGTGAAAATATTCAAGCTCATATGTCGCTAATTAATTGTAGTGGTAAGGATAATGCAGTTAGTCTATGTATAATAAAGCCCGAAATCCTTTCTACCACCTGAGTTATCTGTGGTGGTGCCACAACGTTATTATGACCTTGAAGTGTATAATGTGAAACACGTCAATGAAAAAAGTTTCACCCTTTACACAAATCAAGGTACATCTTTGCAGTAAACGAAAGCTATCTTGATGGCGTTTTTATTCAAAGTATTTTTTCATTGATTTACCCACTATATGGCTTTTAAACCTACACTTCAACATGATAATTTTACTTATTTTTGTGTAGCACATTTCTGCTGACTTATTACATCTACCGTTTTCTATATCACAGGACAATATGTAGCCATTTGCAGTGAAAAAATAACAAGTTAGACGAAAAATGATAATTGCGAGACCACGCTAATCTCAAGGAAACCGAAATAAACAGATGAGTTTATTAGGAGCTTTGGAAGAAAAAGAGAATTAAAATGTAAATATATTCGTTTTCGTAGCCATGTATTAAGGAGTACTTTTGTTTTTTGCGTCTGCATCAATTTACGCAAGATTCTGGTTTCAAGCCTTAGTTTCAAAATATGACCATTTTCCAAGCAAACTACATACATTATCATCATTAAGGTGTACTAGAATTTCATCAGCATATTTGAACGTTACTTTCTTCAGTTCACACTCGACTCCTTCAAACAAGCATTCTGAAGAGATTCTTCTTGATCACATGCAAGATTATCATCAAAATACAGATTTATTTTGAATGTTTTATATTTGTAATGACGGCTAAACAAGCATTTTTAGCTATATTTCTGTTTTTCCCATTTGCTAGAGGTTGAGGCATAAAAAGTGAAGTACTGACACTTTCTGTGCTATCGTTTAAACAGAGGATTTTCAAAAGGTTTATCCAACACAATCGTAATAGTTCTATTTTTACACCACATATATGTATATCTATATGGTAAACTGTTATTTATTTTTATTTATTTAAACACATATATATTGGTACAAAAGGGCACCAGGTACATATGCGCCACACAAAATAATGAAAGTAGGAAGAGAAGGGATGAAAAGATAAGGCGGACTGAAATGTACAACCAGAAGACTCTTTCAGTTAGGAAAGTTAGAACCATTCATTATGTAGAAAGTAAAAGAAGGTTGCAGCAGGATCGCCACTGGCTTCTATTCTGAGCCATATCTGATAACGTCTCTAGCCACTGTGTTGCATCATCTCTCGGACCCCAGCCAGGGAGTCGTGAAGGACCAACAAAAGCTAGCCCTTTGCAGCTCTCTTTCATGCCACGACACCATGTCATACACTGACCTCCTCTCCGCTTTTTCCAATCAGTCCCAGGGTCGGCAAATAATGCACGACGTGGAAGTCTCTGGGACGACATTCGTAAAACATGTCCAAGCCACCGAAGTCGGTGTTTCAAGATGGTGGCACCAATTGAATTATCGTCTCTGCGCCCGAACACACGATGCCGAACCTCTGCATTACTAACATGGTGTTGCCACTGGATGTCAGCAATCCTTCGGAGACAACGATGATCGAACACAGAGAGACGTCTAACATCCTCAACTCGGAGAGGCCAGGTTTCACAAGCATAGAGCAAAACTGCTCTCGCCGACGCGTTGTAGATCCGACCTTTTACAGCCAGACTAACATCACGAAGGCGCCAAAGATGGCCCAGATTGGCATAAGCCGCTCTGGCTTTCATTATACGTGCATCAATCTCATCACTCACGCCACCACCAGCACTTATATAGCTACCTAGATACACGAACTTCTCAACTACTTCGATCTCCTCACCATCCAGGGTGAGTACAGGATGAGAATCCTGCCAGTCTTGTAGGAGTACTTTGCACTTGGAGGGTGCAAAGCACATGCCGTACCTGCGGACACTGATTGCCAACTGATTAAGTGCTGATTGCATGCCTTGGGCATTATCGCACAGTAAGACAATATCATCCGCATACTCAAGGTCGAGAAGTCGTTCTCCAGACAACATATCCACACCGCCATTACTTACATCCATCAGAGCTGTTTCCAGGATGTCGTCGATGGCAAAGTTGAAGAGGAATGGTGAGATCGGGCAACCCTGCCTAACCCCACTGCTCGAATGGAACAAGGGAGAAAGGTGGTTGTATGCCCTCACTCTGCCTGAGGTGTCCGTATACAGGCCCTTTAAGATGTTAATGAACTTCTCAGGCACACCCTTCTTCAATAGACAATCCCAGAGAACAGTCCTGTCCAACGAATCGAAGGCCGCCCTGATATCAAGAAACACTACGATTGTTGGCCTGCGATAAGTATGACGGTGTTCTAACATTTGGCGGAGGGTGAAGATGTGATCAATGCATCCTCGACCAGAACGAAAACCAGCCTGCTCCTCGCGAGTCAATCGTTCTCGGGTTTTAAACAACCTACGAAGAATGATAGAAGCCAATAGTTTGGACGCAATCGAAAGTAGACTTATCCCCCGATAGTTATTGCAGGAACAACGTGAACCCTTTTTAAAGATAGGGACGACTATTGACTCATTCCAAGATGTTGGAACACTTTCTTGCTCCCAAACCTTTCCAAACAACACAGTCAATTCCTTAGTCAGAAAGTCACCACCATCTTTAAAAAGAGCCGGAGGTAAGTCATCTGGGCCAGGTGATTTGTAACGTTTCAAGAGCTGGAGTTCCTTGCGGACTTCCGCCTCGTTTGGTGGATCAGTCGTCACCGGCCATGGGGGGCAGGACAAGCTGGTTGATGTTGCCGGAGCAGCAGGCCAGTTGAACTGCCCTGTCCAGTTATAGCGCCGGACATTCGCTTCTCGTCCTCTCACTTTCGTAAACAACACCCCCGCCTCGAGAAGGCAGTGAGTAGGACTTCCCTGGCAGAGGCTATATATTCGCTGGCCATGTGAGAGCATTTCGAGAGGGAGAGAAGACTCTCCCCACTCTCGGCCGTACCAGGGCATTTGGGGGCTAACTGTTAACTATTCATCTTACGCATTTTATTCCCAGGACTTAGCTTGCATGCAGATCAGTGTAATTTTTTATTGCGAATGAGCCAACAAACTCAAAAGATCTGCTACTTTGTTATTCAGGTAAAAACCATGGTTAACAATTTAACTCACTATGAACTGTTTTCGAATTGGGCAGTTACGGACATCAGTGCGGATAAATATGTCAATTGAAGTCCAATACTGGTCAATATTCCAAGAGTCAAGTATAGAACGTGAAAACTGTTCGCAAAGGAGGAAACTAAAGTAACGTATTTAGTAAGGATTTATAACCACATCCTAAACTTACCAAAGCATCCGATCCACATTAACAGTGCACCCCATGCAGAACCAGATGAAAATCCATAAGTGTCAAGTAGTGGACACAGAAAGGGTGCAAAAAATTGAGGCATTGAAAAAATCATTCCAGGTAGGATGGCAGCTTCAACACTGCTAAGATGGAAATCACTCATGAGTTCCGAATACAATATACCCATTGAGTAAGTGTATCCATCAGCCAGCATATACGAAATAAATCCACCAAAAATTAACAATAACTTCTGGAAATCATTCATGCTGATACAATAACGTAAAGAAATCCAGTCACATAAAATCGATCAAATGAACTTTTAAATTTCTCCTTATTATACTCGTGTAGAATGGTTGAAACTATTTATTTACGCGTAATAGCAGTTTATCTGATGGAAAACCTGAACTTTAAATTTTAAAAATGTAACTGATAATAAGTTATGTCAAACAAAATCCCAAAAACTACTTTCAAAAATATGTTTTAAAGTAGACAATTAGCACACTTCCAGAGGTGGATTATACTTTAAAGATACAGGTCAAACCAGAAATTAAAAAACACTGACAGCTCATAGTATTGATGAATCACATTAAAATGTTTATGCTATAAACTTGATGAAAAGAATAAAGACGAAGTATTTTGTCACCTATCAAAAACAATTAATATGCTTCCTTCTTAAGCTGTAAAAACGCAATGTAAAAGAGTAGGAAGGTTGGATTTACTTACCTTAGGCTATAACAGAAAGTTAAATAGTTTTATAACATATCTGACTCATCTAAATATCCAAAAAACTGGTTTTTCACCACAACTTGTTTGTCAGTGATTTAACGCTTGCCGCAAATACTCTATCAAAGAACAGACAATTAAGTTAATTTAGGGAAATATTTAAGTCCTCTAAGCAAGGTTAGAATGACTATGCGGACTAAAACGTTTAGTTAAAATTAATCTAGAAATGCTAACGATGATATCTGCTTAACGTCTGTTTTGTTCTTACTGTTTAAATTGCTTTACTATTTTGCTATTTCTTGCTTAGACATAGGGCAGTGACATGCTGGTAACTGGAAACTATGTTATCTCATCAAACTGGCTTAACAACACAGACTAATTTTTGAATGAGGCTTTTGTATAAAGACTAGAAATGCGGAAACAACCTTTATCCCATAAGTGATTTTGTAGGACCGACAGATTTGCTTATACTTACTGACAAAATTCATTATTTGAAGGCGAAAATAGCTTTCAAGTCTACCTGCAGCACAATGATCGAAAAACTGTGTTGAGAACCATAATGTCAGGGATTTCATTAAAGTCATCTCAAAGTCTTGTGAAGGGTTCAAGACAGTCGTTTCATGAATAACAAATGTTTCCGTAGCTTTGTCTCTCAACGCATTCAAAAGAAAGTTGGACCGAGTGAGATACTACAACCTCATGTCTAGAATAAGCCACCCATCCTCCTGAAAATTAAATAAAATGTTTATAACGTACGAAATGCTGAACCATATACTTTGTTTTACTGGTCAAATGGATCAAGCAATGGGTGGAAATATCATCACATTATACCAGAAGAACCTTTGCTGAAGACCAAGTCTGTAAAACTCTGAGGTTGTCCAGATAACGTTTTATTGATCTACCTAGTGGTTTTGGTCCCCTTGTAACGATCGATTCGGGATCTGCATGTTTTTCGTAGCCATTGGTTAAAAACTTTGGATGACATGGCTCAAAACCGTTTATAATAACACAAGTGCATCCATTCTTTGTCGTCTCCAAGTTCCAAGCTTCTGCGTTTCTCATTCCCGTTGTACCTTTATTTCGTTAATTGATGTTTGTTGAACCGTATCTTTGACGGCTAGTCTTTTCTATCACCACCCAAGAATTATAGGGTTTGGCCTGACGATTTTATGTCTCTGTGCATATGGGGCATTGCAACTTCAGCCAATTTACGTACGTAACAGGCTCTACGTTGCGAACGGATGACTATCAGTCTGAAAAGTTATAATGACTAGACGCATTATCATTATTAGCTTTATTCAATATTATATTTTTGGTACAATATAGAATTTACAGCACAAAATATTTCGGTAAGATTCTGCTTATCTCTAAGCGCGGACGCCGATGACGGGCTGCTTATCATATCAATTTAGCATGCCTGGTAACATCGAAGTAAATCTAGTTTCCGATGTGGGAGATCAACAACTTGCACTTAACTACCACCCTTTTAGCGTTTGAACCTTATTTACCCATCTGCATTGTATCTGGTAAAGTGGATTTTCTAATCAAATGCAAAACACTTGCTTCAAACATCACGTAAATATTTCTTTCATGCTGGTCGCATCTGTTTAGGAAATCACTTTACTATCGGACGAAAATGAACCTTATGTGCAATTTTTAACTTTGCTCATGCCTATGAGTGAGTTACTCATGGAAGCATTGTAAAGATTGACACTTGGTCAGTTATTTTTCGGAAAGGCAAACTTCTAGAGAAAAGCGGACAAACCAATCCTAGTGATATTCAAACACTGACGAGTTTGAGAATTTGAACTACTCAAAATCCAACAACCCCGTATGTTGCAATGACAGATAAATTCTCGAAGCAAACAGCTGTACAGACGTCTGATGATGGTACTCGTCAGTTTACTTTTAGTAGACACTAACAACTACAGGCGTACCGTCAACCATAGCGACCATGTACTGAAACAAACGGCATGGGATCCTATTTTCGGTTTAAGCAATCTGGATATTAGTCTCACACTAATCTACCTCTCCCTTAAACAAATACGTTGTTTCTTCCAATAATTTGAATCAATTAAATGTCAACTCTGAGTAGGATACTTTAAAGAACTTGATACCATATTTAACACGACACATTTGTCGCATCGATGACATGTCATTAAGACAACAAAATTTCAACTTAAGGCCGAAACACACAAGTTCCATACATATAACGCATAATATCGGCAACGCATATTTTACTATTATATCCAATGTAAACTGAAAGCCTGGAATTTTTGTTTTGGATAAATGACTGATAGTTTTTGAAAGTTTGTAAGATTTGCCCTCGAGATTGACTGAGAGCGATTAGATTAATAATTCATGTAACTCAAAATGGCTACAGCTAAAAATAACTTATGTAGAAAAACAGAGAGACGCGATACCGTCTCTCATCAATCAAAGATCTGCTGGTTTTAACGACCTTAAGTAATAAGAATTTAAACAAAATGTTCAAACTTACCAAAATCTAATGGTTGTTAGTCGTACAATCAACTCGACAGAAAGATACTTAACACCGAAATTACTCAAGACTTGTGCTTTTACATTCACTTGTGCTGACGACGTGGAGGAAGTCTTTCTTTTCGGGCAACAAACGTAATTCCAACAGGAATATCACAAAGGAATCCTGCGAGATGTTGTTTCACGGAAGGAACACTACTGTGTAGGATCTCATCTTGATGATTCATCTCTTCAAGTTTAGGAATATCTTTATCCGACAATTGCTACAATTGGCCAAGTAGGACGTGGGTACCAGACCCCGGCTGGTTATTATGAATTCCGCGGTGGCGGCCCCTACTCTGGAGGCATTTCATACCTAAGGATACCAAACTTCAAACGGAACCCACTCGCATCCGGCCAAGCCATGTGATGTAAGGATTCGGTAATATAACAAATTAGAATTGACTATTTCATAAATGGACTGTCAGGAACGAAAAGCGTGAGATTTTGTATACTTTTCGTGTTTTAGAGCCTATATGTGTGAATGCTCCTCCATGTTATGTTATGCGATGAAAACTCATTGTCTTTACTTGAATTTAAAGTTTACACTTTCTAGCCCCTTATTTGTAAGTTCCCTACAAATTCTGATTTGCATGAGACTAGAATCATTCATTATGTTGATAGTGTAGCTGTAAATAAATCCCCAAAATCAATAGCTCTGTAAGTGTTCGACACTGGATGCTGACCACATTAGTTTTGATGGAATCACCTAGCTGAAGGCACTTGGTCATGCATCCGCACCAGATTACGGTTTGGAACTGCTTGCTCAACGTCTCCTGCGATCACTAGCCACTTTAGATCAGTTAATCCTCGAGATATTGATAATATAACAAATATACCTTCCAACCTCCTCACCAATGACTTTTGATTTCACTGGTAAAGTGTTGTCAAACTACAATACCTGTGGTTTATTTATTAGTGAGACCGACGTGATCTAGTACAACAACCTATAAACTGTGAATCTGTTCCCTTTTGGAATTTCACAAGTCATTGCTTTATTTTAACTGTTATATATTTTGATACTTTTTCGAGTTTTCGGACAAATTTTATTTTTTTCTTCGTTAATTATCATACTTGATTTTTCACTATGACAGAACAGACACCCAAAGTACTTAAGCTAAAGACTATGCCCCCACCTTCGTTTCAACTAATGCCCTTCTGGTCAGACAACATCGAAGTCTGGTTTCTATGAGCACGAAATGACTGAGTCACACGCACAATTCCTCGCGGTTGTAAAAGCACTACTGCGCGAATTCAACATTACGTCACACCTACTATGTTCACTAGTGATATATAATATATAATATAATAGTATATTTCTACAAGAGCAGGTACACATCATTTTTACAGGCATGATCTACAAGTTACAACATTTACTGATTCACAGTATTCATCCCAGGCAGGGTTTTTCAGTAAATATAATCTACAAAAGTGAATATCAGTTCATTCGTTTAGATATTTTGTGTAGTATTCAAAATATTTTCCAAAGGGCCATCGCGTTCACGTTACACACCAGAACCAATCTCGGCGAAAATTGTGTTAAGATTTTGGTCGTGCTAAGTATTTATGCAATGCAACTTTTTCAGTTTATGGTTGTTATAGAGTTGTGGAGCGCATGGTATGAACTATGACCTGGAAAGCGCATACGTCGAGTTTGTTCCAGATGTCATAAGTTCCTCAAATCTGAACTCAGAGCAAGATTCTGGAGGAAAAAAAGAGAGAAACCGAAGAGCAGCAAGGCATTTGGATATGAACGATAACCAGTGCTTAACATTTAGTAGTGAAACAGACAGAGATATGATAAATTATTACATTAAATTCATACTAGCTCTTGTTGCTAGAGTGAAATGTGATCAGGGGCATCAGATGAAGGAATGCAGTAATGAAGAACAATGATTTGTATTAATAATAATAATAATTTATTCTCAAATAACAGTTTACATGAGGAATGCCGGTTTACAGGCAATATCAAATTGTTAAAGAAGTTACAATTTTCACTGTTGAAAATTACTCAGCTGGGTTGATATTTCATAAGATATGAATGTAAATGGATTTCGTAAGGAACATATAAACATCACACTTGGCGCACTTTATGGAGGTAGCGTTGCAACATACAACTAATGGTGGAGAATAGATACATGCGAAGTTGGGGGCTTTTAGAAGTTTCGCACTTAACAAAAACCCACTGCCAAGACTGACATCTGCAACTGACCTTGGGGTACATTACTCAGACAGTCTTAACTTCTCAGAACATGTCTCAACTAAAGCATCTCAAACGCCGAGATTACTTGGCTTCATTCTTCGTAATTTCTTCCAAAACGAAACTAGAATCATCCTATATAAAGCCTGCGTAAGACCCATCGTCGAATACTGCTCGTTCTTGTTTTTCAACCTACGCCTATCCGATATAATGAAAGTGGAAGGAATACAGCGAGACTTCACTCGCAAAATACTTAAGAACGACCAACCCATTGACTACAGATCCAGATGCCATATCTTAGGACTGAAACCTCTCTGGAAAAGAAGGCTTAGGTCTAACTTGATTCTTTATTTCAAACTCCTTAAAAACCTTACTTATTCCACATGTAATATAGCTCTCTATCAAGACTCACATGGATACAACCTTCGAGACAAAGTATCCACTGTCAAAATTGAAAAACACAGATCAAAAACACGTGAAAACTTCTTCCTTATCAAGTACGCATTGATATGGAACAGCCTGCCTTCTGAAGTACGCATGGCAGATAAATTAAATACGTTTTTAAGACTTATCAATCAGGTCATCACCTGCACAGATCTAGCGCAAACGAACACATCCGCGCCCAACACAGACATCATAGGCTCTCTACATATATAGACTGAATCACCTTATTTCCCTACCTTGTAGTTGTATTAGATACTTTCCCCTCACTAATTCTTTTCAATTGAAGTAGACAGGCAACTCACTGGATCTATCAATACTCGGTCGCTAAACGACGCTTATAAATACCCTAAAACACCAGAAGAAACGCACAATCGACTGACTACTTCCAGTGGTCGTACAACCACAGAACCTGTCACCCATCAACCGGTTAGCATAGAACAAAACAACCTCAGCGCGAATTTAGTGTGAGTTACTTCTTGTCTATTTATCAGTTTTTTACTCATCTGTACACTATGTTTCCTTGCCATTAATATTATTTCACCACTCGTTATCTTACCTTATCTGTAACTAATATAAATCTCCACTTTTCCGCCTACTATGGTAAAGAAATATCCTACACTATACCCTTACTAATGCCTATACTCTGATTCGTAACCTACACTTCACTATATACTCAATAAAAACATTGCATCGAAGCCTTACCCACAGTCCATAATTTTTAACTGTTTGATAAGCTTGTAAAATGGTACTTATAGAAATAGTGTGGATGTGAAACACAGAGCATTGTGTGAGGTATGATATGTATCCACAAAATAAGCGTAAATGAGCCTAACATCACAAAAGGAGGGAGGATGGAGTTACTGACCAGCAAGCACTGATGGTGTGAGCGATGATTTCAATCCACCCGTGTTTGTGGGACAGAACATTTTGTTTGTATAAGGCTCTTTATGGATGAGAACAAGTCAATAGATCTGTGATATTGAGATTGTTCACCTACACTCACCATTAAAACTCATGTTTCTAATTTTTGTGCTGGATTAACTATTCTACTAAGACAACCTTTAACATGCTAACTCGGACTTTTACATGAAAACTGTGTGGCAGGCATCGGATGATGAAAAAACGGACTGTAAAGGATATGGTTATTATTGTTATTTTACTCAACACTCTACTCCCTATATGCACTCTCTGTTCTTACTCATTCCAACCCTGACATCCCTCCTTCATTGGAACCTACTCCACCTTGATAAATATCACAACTCATTGTTCTTTATTACTGCCTTCTCTCCTCTGGAGCCCCTAATCGCAGTTCACTCTTGCAACATGAGCTAGTATCAATTTAATCTAACAATTTATCATACCTCCATCTGTTCCACTAATAAATGTTGAGCATTGATTATCGCACATATCCAAATGCCTTGCTGCTCCTCGGTTTCTCTTTTATTTTTTCTCTTCAGAATCTTGCTCTGAGGGTGAAGCTATATAACTTCTGACATCCGGAACAAGCTTGACGAACGCGCTTTCCCAAGGTCATAGCTCGAACCAGGCGCTCCACAAGCCTACTTTATAACAACTATAAACTTAAAAAGCTGCATTACATAAATACTTAGCACTACCGAAACCCTATTACACTTTTTATCGAGATTGGATCTGGTATATAACGTGGACGCTATGCCCCTTTGGAAATTATTCTTATGAAAACACATTATATCTGAACGAATGAACTGCTATCAACCTTTATAGATTATAATTACTAAACAAGCTTGCTTGGGATGCATACTGTGAACCGGTATATGTTGTAAATTGTAGAACATGCCTGTAAAAATGGCGTGTACCTGCTAATGCAGAAATATATTATTATTATTATCCCTCCAGAATATCGGAAGCTTCAATAACGGTGTATGACGAAATCACCCTTGCCATATCTGTTTTCGGTGGAGTATCTGCAGGAGGCTGAAAAAAGTGTAACAAAAAGGAAGGACGAAAAGCAGAGCACACAATATTCATGGAGGAATAGTTAATGTTTAACCATTTAGTCTATTTGTTTGTTACTGAAGTATTTATTAGGTAAGAACATACTACTAATAATAATATATTTCTGCATTAGCAGGTACACGCCATTTTTAAAGAAAAATTGTTAAAGAAAAATAAGTGTGGGCAAGTTATGAATGGATAAAGAACTGTATAAATGAAGACAGTTCAGAAGGAAATATGGAATTGTGTAATTATAAAATAAAGTGTTGAAAACAGTATTCCAATACAAATGA